ACTAAATTATTATTCAGCATAAATTGCCTTTGTTCTGTGCATCCCTGCATGTTGCCGAGACTGCCTGGCAATTGCAGTGAAGGTGGCATAGTGAGGTGACTCGGGATTGCATGCCTATGACAGCTGGCAGGCATGATGTGGTTGTCTCTATGTGCTGTAACCTCGGGAAGCAGTTGCAAGAACTCAGGATGGATGGAGATATGACTCAAGAGACAACAGGGAGAATATTGTTTGTTATATTTTTTTCACCTTGTATGTAACTCTGTCAGGCACCAGATATTTTCTTTTTGTGATTTTCCTTTGCATCTTTGACAGGTTAAATTTCCTTGAAGACTACAACAGTGCGAGATAAACACTCGTTTGAAAATTTGCATTGACTTTGACATTGCTAAATTATAAATTGAGGAGGAACGGGGGTAACATAGTATATATAGACTGTGTAAGCGGCCTTCCAGTCACCATTAGTTTCGGGCATATATCAATTACTAGGAGTCACCACACCAGCTGGTTAAAAGTTCACCTTGGGTAATGTAGCATGCATGCCTTCCCTGGCTAGGTCATAAATATACTGGCTCTCGTCTTCCCAGTCATAAATTTGAGGCTTTCATTGATCAATGAAAGTTTTGCCTCCAAATCTCTGATGTGAACCAGACCAACCACCTATTCCAGCCTTTGTGAAGTACAATCAGCCATGGGAGAACTCCACCTCCCAAGTGGATGTGGTTTTAAATATCTAATTATTGATGAGAATTTAACATTGTAGAAAAATGTATGATTGGGAGGCACTGCAGTGGGCATACTTTGTCAGCTTATGGGTGGCATTTTGGCCATTTTAACCTGTTGGACAAGGGGAAAGTTGGATTTAAATTTTGGATTTTGGAATTCTTGGGACTTGGCAGCTAGAATTTGTTCTGAAAACTGAAATCAGTAATTATGACTAAGACCTCAGGCCTTGTCCCTTCATCTGTTTGTAAAACTTGGTGAATGGTGATTAATTATGTAAAGAATGTCTAATTTGTGCTCACTTAAGTTTAAAATAACAAATTCTCTCTCTCGTTCTATATAACTCCCTTCCTTACATGCAGCCAACAACAACCACGATATTACCGCCTTCTGGAAAGGGATCAAGCGACTGATGGGTTCCACTTCTAACGCGGTCCCTTACCTGCTCGACCAAAACAACTTGAAAATATTAGAGGAGGAAAACCAAGAACAAATACATTGGCGATATTTACGGAAGATCTTTACTATTAATGAACAGGGGAATGAGCGTTTCAACAGTTTGAGGAAGACATTTTAGTTCAGTTGCAGGACCATCAGCACCTGATGCAGCCGCTCACACAGACTGATTTCACTAGACTGGTGGACGACAGCTATCTGGCGGAGCACATAGTTCCTACAGATGTGTCAGCCATCATAAAAGTGATTTAAAAACAAGTCATCTGGGCAAAGTCATATTAACAAGAAGATCCTGGCCCAACTCCCTGACAACATTACCTTTTTTTTTTCATTTTCAAATTCGCCACTTATCGGCTTACTAGCCGTTTGGGCGCTCTATCCAGTGCTAGTATGGGAGGAAACCTGTGGCGTTTGGGCCAAGGCTCGAACCCTTGACATATTGGTGAGAGAAACTTGAACTCATATATGCAATGCCTGCCTCGCCTCTGGATACTTCTCCAAGATGTTCAAAATCGCCCTTATCCGCCTCATACCAAAACCAGGAAAGCCTCCAAACAAAGTCGAAAACTTTTGACTAATATCGCCACTGGAGGTACCAGCCAAAATCCTCAAGAAAATAGTAAACAAGCGGTTGAGGGTGTATCTGGAGGACGAAGACATGCGTAATCCCCGCCAGCTCGGCTTCTGCCAGTACCATGACATCCACCGCCACAGCCCAGGCCTACGAGCAGATCGCCATGACTGACTGCAGTGCAACATTGTGTGGCATGCGGGGCTACAGTATAAGACCATACAACTGGGGCTACCCGAAAACTTGACGCGCCTGCTGTGCAACTTCATTACAGACCACAGAGCCAAAATCAAGATGCAAGAACATTGTGGAGAAGAATTCTCACTCTCGAGCAGTGTGCCTCAGGGCTCGTGTGTCTCGCCAACCCTTTACATGCTCTACGCGGCTAACCTGCCACCCCCAATCGTCGACGAGTACGTCATGTATATATCAGTCGCGGTCTGACCACGTAAGGGGACAGACGTGTGCCCATAGGTGCTCCTGTCTTCCCTCTCGTCACACAAAGGCCTCCTCAGTCTCTACCTACCCCTTCGCCAGCAAGTGTTGCCAGAGATGGATGGACGGGGTCTACGTAAACGCCCCAGAAGAGGCGTCCCTTCTCTCATGGATACAAACATTTCTGATACGGATAGTCATAGTGCATCCCACACCCTGCAAGAGTCAAACCTCAGTGACAGTAACCGTAATGTTTCTATGGGAAACACTTGCCGGAGTAGCAATGCCAAGGGCAGCGAGCTTCCCCTCGCTACCCACCCCTCTGCCAATCAACCAAGTAAGCTGAATCTGCACTTCCCCGAGGACTCATTGAAAACCGTCAAGGAAAGGTTTAATTGGACAACAAAGTATTGTAGACAACACGGTATCACCATTCAATTCCGAAAAGGTAAGAACCGTAACTTTATCAAGTGACAGACTCCTGAGGTTTATGAAACACTTAGTACTGATGGATTTGACGGGGTTGTCTTCGTGCCTCCTGCTGACGCAACGGAATGTTGCCACATCCTAGTTCAGCAATTCCCCCTGTACGCTGAAGTCAAAGATGCTCGTAACGTTAATCCACGTATACTCTGTGTACATCGACACTACCTAGGGAAGACTCCACAAGCAGCTGTCATAGTTAAATGGAAGGGGGAGGGGGGGGGAGTGCCCAACCACTGTTGAGGCCCACCCAGACCTCCCTCCACTATGTGCAGAACCTTATCACCCCGAGCCTGCTACTCCCAGTCTCTACTCTGACGTTGTCAGGCCTTGTGCTCCCACCGGTGCCCCCCCACAGCCCCCCTCCGGTGACACGAAACAGATCATATCCCTCTTACACGAATTTACCAACCGTATTGAAAGACTCTTTGGTACACTCTGTACTGCTATCTCCAACATACACAGACTACCCCTGCCTCCAGCTGCTACCCAGTCACCCCCCGCTTCTGGTTTGACACAAGTTGGTAGCCCCTGTGTGCCCCTCTTGCTCACGACCTATTCCAACGCCGCCTGGCATCACTACTGGCGTCCACGCTACCAAGCTTGCCCCGGTCCATCCACCGCAAGCCGCACCTGGGGCCCATCCACTCCAATTCTCTATATCAATTGACCACCATGCGGACATGCTAGTGAATTACTTATCTACGCCAAGAAGGATGCCCCCTGCCAACCTCTCAATGTCCCCTTTGAAGCCGACCCTACCGACGTACACGCCAATACAATCACACTAAAAGGTATGTCCCTCAATATTGTCAATGCCTATGGCCTGGCACTTGACATTACTGTATTAGGGACCTGCCACGCTTTGCCATAAACAGATAAATTGTACCGGGAATTTTCTCCCCCACACACTCATCATTCTGTCACTTTATGTAACTTGCTGACAAAACCCATGACCCTTCGGGCTTTTATGCCCTTAATTCATGAGTCATAAAGGCAAGCATGAACTCTGCATGCTTCCCAGATGGGCGCTGTAAATGCTTCTGCGCTTCACCTTGCACAGGATGTAAGGGGGTGGCCAATAAAAGACCCCTCTGGGGCAATCTAAAAAAAATCTAATTTATGTCATGTATGCCGGCAATGTGATACAGATCGTCACCTGCCTAGGAAGGTCCATGGCAAGGATGGCGTGACTCACTGCTCGGGCAATAGAGGCTATCTCGGCGTATGAAAATAAATGGAAGATAAAAACAAACAATGAAATTCCAGGTCATACCCATAGCCAAATTCAAGCTGGCGCCATTGATAATCATCGACGAAGATATTGAGTACTCTAAACAAGGCAGGTTGCTCGGCCTCATCATCTCTTGGACGGGCATCATGTCCCATGTGGAGGACAGACTAAAGAAAGCCAAAGTCGCCACCGCCAAATTAAAATGTTTTTAACCGATGCCTGAGAAGATACAAGTCCACCTGTACAAGGCGCTGGTAAGGCCTGTGTTGGAGTACCCACATGTCCCACACAGGAAGACCAGACTACAACTACTACAGAGCTTCCAAAACAAGTGTCTGAGGTCAGCCAGTGGCCAAGTGCCACCCTACCAGGAGACAGTGGAAACCATCCACCTGAGAAATAAAACAAGAGGCCCTCAATGTCAGGTTCCATCGCTTAGGGAAGAATATTTGGGACAAGCTCTTGAATGACTCACAGATCAGGCCACCTACGCGGGGAAGACATCAACTGAGGGCGACCCCACACCTGGTGGCCCCGAAGTCTGCCCGCACTTCAACAACCCAACCCATCTATGTCCGTCACAACGATCCACCTTAGAGTACAACTTAGTTAATATAAGATCACATTTAACGAGTCACAATCTAGTGAATCCATAATGTAATACAGTAATACGATTTTAATAAACATGTAATTGTAAAATCAAACAAGTCATTACCAACCAAAGTAACCATTGTTAGCCAACAACTCTGTAATACTGTATGTAAAACAAGGGGTGTCGTCCGTTTAACTCATTAAACTTCTTTTTCAACCCCCCACGACAATGGTGATGATAATGGTAATAATAACAATAATAAATTTTCACTGGTCTGCATGATTTTTTTTATTGACTGTATTTCATCTTTTTCGAAATATATATAAAAAATAGTGATTCACTGTGTTTTTTATTCATCTCTATCACATCAGGTTCTGTGACGGTCTGTGACGTTGACTTTTCATTTTTTATATAACATAAGTAAATGCTAAAGTATAATACCAATTAAAATACTTACCTTATATTGACTTAAATGTTAAATCTAATATATTTTTCTTTATTTTCAGATTGTGAATATGTCTAGAGGCTGCAGAAATTCACCAGACATATTTTGCTATGTCTGCGGGCAATTCACCCCTTCAGATTCCCAGAGTAATATTACTCCATTGTTGAAGCGCTGCTATTTAGCTTATTTTGGCTGCAAATTGGGAGACCAGGACAAGCCATTTGCACCTCACAAAGCTTGCAAGAGTTGCATCAGTAAACTCCAAATGTGGTCGGTTGGAAAACTTAAATGTATGCCCTTTGGAGTACCAATGGTATGGCGGGAGCAGATGAATCATCATGATGACTGCTACTTTTGTATGACTAAAGTAGCTGGATTCAACAAGAAGACTAAAGATCACATAATATACCCAGATATTCCATCAGCAATAAGGCCTGTTTCACACTCTGATGATATTCCTGTACCTGTGCCACCTGACACATGGGAAATTTCATCAGAGGCTGATACTAGTGATACCAACGAGATGGAAGTAGACTATGAACCACCAACAAATGACGATCCCAAACTCTTCACCCAAGTTGAGCTCAATGACTTGGTTAGAGACCTTAACCTTCCAAAAGAAAGCGCACAGTTACTTGGCTCTAGACTGAAGGAACACAGGCTTCTAGCTCCTGGCACAACATTTTGAGGAAGCATTAGCTGGTGTCGAGGTGAATGCCTGGTTTTCCTTCAAACAGATTGTCCAAAACTTCTTGGGAAACAGCCGCTCTCCAGAATATGAAAAACTGATCCAAGACCTGATTTCAAGTTTCCAGCAACTTGGGTCTAGAATGAGTGTGAAGATGCACTTTTTGCATTCACATCTTGACTATTTTCCCAAGAATTGTGGGGACTACAGTGAGGAACAGGGAGAGCGGTTCCATCATGATATATGCACCATGGAAACTCAATACCAGGGCAAATGGAATGTCAGCATGATGGCGGATTACTGCTGGTCATTGAAACGTGATGGTCCCGATGCACAGCACAAGCGGAAATCAAAGCGGTCCTCCTTCCTTTGAATCAATATGTAGGCTAACTATTAGGAGCATATTTTTGTTTACATTCATTAGATTTTATGTTGATTATTCTGCTTCATTTCATGATAAACGTTATTAATTTCATGGTTATTTGGAATACATTAATAATTAATTATATATTATTATATTATATCATATTTAAAAATCATTAATTTGTATTTTATTAAAAATCCTTACGTGATAGAGCAAAATGGTGGAGATATTTAAAATCAGCAACCCAAGAGTATGTAAGATCACATCACAAAATAATATTAATAAAGAACCATAAAAAAATAAAAAAAAGATAAATACAGCTAGACCCCGACTTACGACGGGGTTAGGGACCCAAATCCAGGTCGTAAGTCCGACAAAAAAAAAAATTAAATAAAAAATCTACGATGAAATACAGTACAGTAAAAGTAATAAATAATGAGGAATGGATAGTGTGACTGAGCACTTACCTTTAATGTAGTCAGCTGAATGCACATGGGGGGCCCCCATAATTTTCAAATTATACATGGAGACTACATTAACTGGAAACGTTTCGGTATAAAAAATGCGTGTCATTTGGGGGAATTGGTCACAACTGTAGCGGTCGTAAGTCCAAGCAGTTGTAAGTCGGGGTCTAGCTGTAGTGAGAAACGATGTAGGTTGTGTTGTCAAAGTAAGAGAAACAATTGAGACCCTGCAAATGTGTGTAATTGGGGCAGAAAGTCAGATCAGCAGCCTGGGATTTGGTCACAATTTTCGTGATGCCATATGGCAGCAGGGTCTACCATTAGACAACACAGTACCGGTATGCTTCCAATATCTTCCCAGGCGGTAGTACATCCCTGTTTGATAGCTGCCTACTACCTGTCGTGACTTCTCTATCCCTCATGTCTGGCTGTGCCTTGAGCCCCAGCATGCCTTCCATTGTTTCCCCACCTTAACCTAAATAAAAAGTCATACCCCCCTCCGTCCTGGCCTTGTGGTGGACTAGTTAGTGTGGTTTTCCAGGTGAACCCAAGTAGTATCTTCCTTCTTCAATACCGCTCACCACCACTATAACATTCTGAAGGGAATAAATATATTGTACTGATGTTTACTGTAGGTAACCATTTATGATAGTCATATTCTGTTTATTTACACACTCCTGTGTTATTTTCTATTTAATATATATATTTTCTTTAATCTGAGAAATAACTGAAGTGCTCATTTGAACAACTACTTGGTCTGGAGCATCAGCACTATTGTACAGTACACAAAACGCTTTCTTTTCCACCCGTCCCACGCAGACACTCTTAATCTATAGTTTTCACTCGTTTTAAACCCATTATATCCACTTCGTGTAAAAGAACACACACTAGTGGGTAATATTATAGAGGCATCTGTTCTAATCTCTAATGCAAATAACATTTGCTTAATCGCATTTTTCATCAATTCACTTGTCCAGTTTTACATCCACTCATTGCAGTAGCTACATCTTTTCATATACATAGGGTACTCCACGACAATAGGCCGGTTGGCCTGTGCATGGCAGCTCCTGTCGAGAGTTACTACCACTCTATCCCATGACTCTATCTAGCCTCCTTTTGAAACTTTCCAGCATTCCAGCACTTACTACAAAGTTGCTAAGCTTGTTCCACTCGTCCACCACCCTATTTGTGAACCAGTTCCTTCCTATCTCCCTCCTAAACCTAAACTTATCCAACTTGAATCCGTTGCTCCGAGTCCTATGCTGCTCGGATATTATAAGAACTTTATCTATATCCCCTTTATTGATTCCTTTCACCCACTTAAATACTTCTATCATATCTCCCCACACTCTTCGTCTTTCTAGGGAATGCAAGTTAAGTTTCTTTAACCTATCCTGATATGTCATTTTCGTCATTCTTCGCTGCACCGACTCTAGTGAATTGATATCCATTCTATAATAAGGGCACCAGAACTGAACCGCTTAATCGAGGTGCAGCCTGACTAGCGCAAGATATAGTTGCAATAAGACCTCTGCACTCTTATTACTTACACTTCTAGATATAAAACCCAATACTCTGTTTGCCTTCGTTTTGGTGCCAGTCGGTTAACACTTCCAGTATACTTCATTGGTTTACAAAACAAGAATCTAAACAATATGCAGATTGTCATTGTCTCGAGGCTTTCTTGATCTAGAACCTGACTGAGATGTATTCTTCAGAAACTTATCTCAAAACACAGGATTCGGGAATAGTTTATAAACCAAAAGACTACTGTGAACAAAATTGCTATTGAAGTTGTGAAGTCATGTTCCAAATTAAATTCTACCTAAAATCTGCAAATTACATATACTGATAAAACTGCTTTTCAATTGTCTACTGCAGTAAATAAAAAGTTACGAGGCTACTGAACACAATTTGAGGATACACCTGTCTAGTATAGTTGATGTGACCACCGGCAGATATTCTATGGTAGCAGGTACGTATGCAGGTCATCAGCAGGGAAAAATAAACAGGACTGAGTTGAGTTGGCTCCGAGGTGGTGTGGTTGGCAGAGTTTAGTACAAGTAGGGAGGTCCGCGGGGAAGTCCTCCGATGTCACTCGTATAGTTTTCATCCAGAGGCACCTCGTCCATGGTAGGATCCTCGCCCTGGGGATATGTGTCATACACCTCACCACCCCCATCTTCAGCCTGTAACAAATATTGTCATATTGTAGATCCCAATGCGTTATATACTATACTGTATACAAAAACATAGTGTACACCCAGATATACACTATGTATACATAATTGCTTAAGTATACATCTCTATAATGCAATTTCCCTACAAATATACACCCTAACAGTGCAAAACACACACAGGCGTTAGTATATCCCAACACAGTGATGCACACAGGAACAACCAATTCTCTTTTAATCCCCAACAACTTTTCACGCTCCATCTATAACACAAGAACAAGCATGTTATTAGACCACATTATCTACCAACGGTGTATTAAATATACACACGTTACAGACTGACTCATCATATACGTTAGTTGTTGGAGGTCACTGTCACTTAATGACAGCTATCATACACTGGCAAAAATACTGAATCGCATAGCAAACATATAAGGCACAGTATTGTACATTCGCTGGTGGCAATGATAGGATGACATCTGTGAGTCATTTTTATTTAGTCGCCATGTACTGTATTTGGACAATGGGGCCATGTTTACTTTTAAGAAAGATTGTCTACTTATGTGGAAAATTTTCTACTTTTGAGGAATATTGTGTACTTGTGAGGCATACTGTTTACTTACGAAGCATATTGTTTACTTACGAGGCATATTGTTTACTTATAAGGAATATTGTTTACTAATAAGAAATATTGTTTACTTGCGAGGAATATTCATGGAAAGGTACAAGATGCTTTGGCGTGGATGTCAGTTTTATATCAGCTTAATGTCGCCGGACTGTCTCACTGTCCCTGTAGGATCACCTGAAGATTAGACCCCCAGCTGCTTTCATCTTAAAGATTAAACACCCTAACGCTACGTCGGGGGGTAGGTTAGGTTAGGTTTGCTTAAGGGTGTTTTAATAAGTGAAATTGGCTGGGGGCTAATCTTCATATGATCCACTTCATCCTAATATATTCATTTACGAGTATAAATTTTAGATGTTAAAGCTTACGGAACACACAGTAGTCAGTGAAATGTGTTGACAGTTTGGTGGCGGTGGTGGGCGGGAAGGGGAGGAACACACCCGGTGGCCCTCCCAGTTTTCCCCTCGGAACCTATGTCTCCCACCCGTCCCTCCCCCCTCCCCATGATTCTCCATGAGGGTGGCGGCCAATGTGTGTGTGTGTGTTCCTTCAGGGTGGTCTTCACGCCTTCCAAGATTCTTAAAGCTACATACTTAATCATCCTCTAACTGGCACAAAAGAGAACCTCTTTTATTTTCGGTCGTCTCGGTACATTTTGGTCTTATTCATAATGTCGTTTCTTCAGAGAGATCGTTAGATGTGTCTTGACATGTTACTCGTCCGGGAGGCGGGGCGGGGTGGTCTGGTGAGGGTGGTCCTGGCAATTGATGTTTGGATGTTGGCCGCACTGGGTGAGGGAAGGAGGAAGGCGTGTCATCTGGGTGGTCTTGTTGTGACAGAAGCTTAGTGGGGGGCCATGTCACTGGTGGTGGGAGGTCCTCGGGCCACGTGGGAGGTAAGGATGGTCCTAATAGGGACATTATTAGTGGTGGAGTGTTGGTGGTCCTTAGGAGTGATAATACTATTAGTGATGCTGTTGACAGCTCTGGTTACTGGTGTTAAGCACGGTGTGGGTGGTCCTGCTTGGGACTGGGTGGTCCTACAGTGTTGGTGGGCGGCCATGGTAAAGATGCCGAGAACTGGGTGGTTTTACAGGGATAGTGGGTGGCCCTGCTGGGGATTAAGTGGTCTCACAGTGGATGTGGGTGGTCCTGCTGGAGACCTCGGAGATTGGGTGGTCCTGAAGAGGTCGTGTGCGGCCTTACAGAGGGTGTGTGAGGTCCTGGTAAAGGCAGCGGGTACTGGGTGGTCTTAAAGTGGTAGTGGGTGGTCGTGGTGGGCGGCGCGAGAGTGACAACTAGGTCGGGACCCTCCACAGCGACAGCCTGATAGGCCTTCTGGGACAACCCCCTGCCTTTCACTCACTCCCTTGGTCGCCCCCCAAACACACACTTTATATATATATATATATATCTATATATATATATATATATATATATATATATATATATATATATATATATATATATATATATATATATATATATATCTATAATGAATTCTTGTTTTACTTAGCGTTTGTTTACACATAAAATCGGCCGTCTCCTTTCATATTTACAAAAATGGGTGCGCGTTTTAGCCTTCAAGGGTCGCCCGCCAATCCTCATCCATCACAACTCACCGCCTGGGAAGACCCTCATAATTACATCCTTTATCTTCTCTCTTTATTACTGCTTGATAACCCCACAATGTTCCGTTTGTTTGATTTAATTCCCTCATTATTTTTTAGACTAATTATTTTTTAACAACTGTTAATAATAGAGGGAAACCTGGTCCGGTAATGAAGGCTGGAACTATTAATTCTATTATGTTTTCGAGAACTCTGGACCGGTACACAATACTTCAAAAAGGCTGAATACTACTGTTTTGTAATAATGGCGGGATCGCAGTACTTTATTTTTAATGTAATAAGAACGTTGGATCGGCAGTTTTTTTCCTTCCTTAACCAATACTAAAAAATACTGTATATATGATGGTGAAATTGCCAAGAACATGAGTGACCAAGAGGTGAACAAGACACTTAACATCAACTAGGCGTTAAAATTACCCTATATCATCTTTGGAAAGGTTCTCTCCGTTGGTGCCAAGTGAATGTATCTACTCGACGTACAGTACAGTCTCAGGTGAAGTTTTGTGAATCTCGACCCTAAACCCTAACATTTAAATCTAACTTGAGTTTTTCTAAGGGGAATCAATTCAATTTCAATTGTTTATTCCTTGATAGAGGAAGCGGGATCCTAGTGCTGTCACTAGGTACCCCTGTAAGGGGGGGGGGGAACATGCTTTTCAATAACACATTTATTTGTTCCACATATAAACTATAAAATTTTGTCCCGATAAATTTCCCCCCAGTTGCCGATTTCAGTTTATTATCATGTTAAATAAATAACGTTTATCTCACACACAAAACCTCTTCATAACGTTCCAGAACATCAATACTTTTATTTCCTTGGCTTGTATAGTATAAATAAAAGTTCAGCTACTGCCAGTCCCAATGTTATCACACACACAGCTCTTAGCAAGAGTGTAGATATTTTCTCATACAAAATATGGCGCAGATCATGCAACTTTTTGGTGCTGAAATGTCCGAAATAAACCTTTGGAGTGGGAATCATTAATAATATATATATATATATATATATATATATATATATATATATATATATATATATATATATATATATATATATATATATATAACCGCGTATCTCAGTCTTAACATTTTCTACTTTTGAAGTTATTTCTGTTTACAATATGTTTATAAATAACAGCGAAATGTTGAACTTACTAAGAAACAAATTAAAAGATTAAATCTCTTATTTAATAGGCCGCCTGTAGGATCACTTGCCATCACCCCATACACATACAGCTCATTCTTATACAATCATACTTTCGTCCTTACTATTGCTTACAGGTTTACAATATAAATAATCGTGAAATTATCTTCCCTCTAGATGCTTAAATAATGCCTCCCTTACTTCCTCCCTATATGTTATTGCCCCCAACCTTCTGTGCCTCCCCCACAACACCCAGGTAAGTGTACTGATTATGTGGGTTGTATGTACAGTAGGTATACGAGTATTGGGCGTAGGTAAGTATAGCAGGTGTAGGTGAGTGGGCCAGGTGTAGGTGAGTATGACAGGTGTAGGCGAGTATGTGCAGCTGTGGGTATGTGCAGGTGTGGGTGAGTATGGCAAGTGTGGGTGAGTATGGCAAGTGTGGGTGAGTATGGCAAGTGTGGGTGAGTATGGCAAGTGTGGGTAAGTATGGCAGGTAGGTTGAATAGTATATGAGTAATTAACCCTCATTATTTCACCTTAATAAAAAAGTTTCCAAACCGTTCGTATAGTAAAGCGAGGCAATCCATTTGGTACATAACTGTCAGTGTTTCATGGAGGGAACTGTCGGGTATTTTAATTCCAAATGCAGGTGATGTCTTGTGCTTGTTGCTTTTAGGTGCGTCTTTTAATTCGCCATAAACAGCCGAGGAGGGATATATCTTCATCACTGTAACACACACACACACCTCACCCACAGAAACATGGACTCGCCCGGGTGTCAAATCTCTAGTTCCTCTGAATGACAATGCCTGGGGTTAAACTTATCAACGCCAGGCAGTACTGAAGTAACTCTAGAGTATTTTATAATCAACTGACTCCATACCCATACATGATAATAATAATAAATAAATACATAAAAATCGATCGTTACACTTCGAGCGACACGTGAGCGTTTTAAACGTCGGTAATCAATAACTACTAGATTTAACATAAAGGTATTCCGACCGAAACTTTTAATACTGTTTAGCACGACTATATCAGCTGACACTGTTTCTTAATGAAAGCAATAAATGTCACAATTATGATCATGAACTTCCCGCCAAGGCCAAGTCCAAGGTCAGCTTTCCCGCGCCCTGGTGCAGCCACATACACACAAAAATAGCCCATATTTGTATACACTAGCGCGACATACTGCAACTCGCTATTAACCCAAGTAATGCACCGCCTTCGCTCACACAATCACAAATTACTTAACATGACTGATGATGTCACGTTCAGTGACACCAACCATCAAATTCGACGGGCGAGTCCATATTCTTAGCTATAGGGGGAGCTGACTCGTGCCACTGGTGTGTGAATTCACCTTAATCTTTGCGTCGCGTAATTGTGGCACTAGGATTCAGATACAGTGAATGCCGCATGGTCTGGAGTATAACTGGTTAAATTTTACGTATATAGAGATTTTTATTAATACGATTTTAACGCGTTTAGCGTTCTCCCCCATGTGGTTATAATGGGGTGTCCCTCAACGTGTGTGGTCCGGGCAGGTGGGAGGAGCCAGGCCACCCACGTTGAGACCACCGGACCACACACGTCGAGCTGCTGCTGCTACCTCCCTGAATCCCCTCACCCCCAGGTCCCGCCACTACACTCTCCCTCCCTACCTCCACCCTACCGTCTTGCCAGAATTGTCAACTCACTTGAAATAGTGGGAGGAATATTTGCCTTGAATACTGTCATATATTAAAATACTAAATACACATAATCAGTACACACACACACACATACATCTACATCCTTGACCACCGAAGGGTCAAGACGTACCTGGCGCTCCTCTCAGAGCAGCCAGGTCAACTGTTATGTTGGCCCATACCAACCCCCTCCCCTGAACCCTCCTCCCCACCGGAATATCAACATGTTCTGCCAGAAGTTACTATTTCATTTGGAAAAGGAATGGAACCAGTGTTAAACAGAGGTGAACAGTGGTGAACAGTGCTTAAGTCAGTGAGAACAACTCAACAGTAACAGTGGTACCCAAGTTGACCTTCACACAGTGAGGTCCCAGGTACCCAGTGATAACGTGAGACCCAACAGCCAGCGATGTGTTAATCCGTCTACGATAGGAAGGCCTGGAACCACACCTCACTCATATAACACCATCTGTGAGGGAATTACTACACCACGTGAGGCCCCTCATAACACCATATGTGAAGGAGTTACTACACCACGTGAGGCCCCTCATAACACCATCTGTGAGGGAATTACTACACCACGTGAGGCCCCTCATAACACCATCTGTGAGGGAATTACTACACCACGAGGCCCCCTCATAACACCATCTAGGAATTACTACACCACGTGAGGCCCTCATAACACCATCTGTGAGGGAATTACTACACCACGAGGCCCCTCATAACACCATCTGTGAGGGAATTACTACACCACGTGAGGCCCTCATAACACCATCTGTGAGGGAACTACTACACCACGTGAGGTCCCTCCTAATACCATCTGGGAGGGAGTTACTACACTACGAGTTTGCTGTTCAACACCTACATTAATCTGTGTGTTCACTGTATGTTCCTTTACCTTTCTCTAATGAAGGCTTTTGTTAAACCACCAATGTATGTAATAAGTCATTTATGTCCAATGTATATTTTCAGCCCTCGGGCTGCAGAACTTTTTCAATAAACCGTTAATTATTATTATTATTATTATTATTACATACATACATACATACATACATTATATATATATATATATATATATCAGTGAAATATAGAGTTTACGAGAAATCCTCTAGGCATTTTTCTTAAGGAACACCAGGTGGTCATGGACAAGTGACAGACGTTCCTGTTGTTACAAGACTGAGCAAGGCGACTATCCAGAATTGCATAGTAATTAACAAACTGATTGATTACTGCTGACACAGGTAGCTACAACACTCCCGGCTGAGTGGTTTCAGAGTCTACAATGACAAGATGGCCAGTCAGGCAATCACAAGCCGATAGAAAGGGGGCGAGACTTTTACTGTAGATATCCATAATGAACAGACTATAGGTATCATCATGAAGTAATTATTGTATATTCATAAAGGTGAATTTAAAATGTATGTAAAAATCACCCAGTTTCTATAGCCATGTCCATTAAATCTGGAACAATTAAGTTACTCTACTAAAACATAACTGATTAAAACATTTAAACAAAAGGTGAACAAATCTGAACACCAACAACAGTCAATATCTACATCTGTACCTTGTGCAGTTGGACGGGAGTTAAGTCAAAGTCCCTCCGCATGGCCTCTTTGTGGTATGGGTTGGTCACGGTGATGGTGTGTGTCAGTGGCATGTAGCCCTCGGCAGTAGCAGTCAACTCGTAGTCCCCTGGCACCAACAGACGCCAATAGTCTCCACCGTGCACTAACACAGGATTTAAAGGTACTAGTAGGTTAAAGAACTCCAAGTACAGTATGAAGGTAAACATAACATCAATTCTGTATTTTTGGGTCACTGTAATGCAAGATAACAGTTAAGAACAGCACTTGTTTTATTTATGAGGGTGAAGATTAGTACCTGAAGTCATGTCATGGTTGATGAATTCATCCCTAACGTGGGTGTCGTTGATGCGAGTGACGTTTTTCACGTGGATCAGAGCACCGGGGATGCCCAGTCCTGTCAGGGAATCCTTGACAATGCCCTTCACGCCCAAGTGTGTCTGCCAGGGAAGGACATCTTTATCAGAACTCATAAGAGGCACAAAAACAATTAAGCTGGGGATACTTCATCAAATTACAGCATGCAGGATGATATGATACAAAGGTACTCAAAAAATAGCCAAAGGTGTCCAGTTATGACATATGATAAGAAAGAGACTAAGTCATCATACAATGAACAAAACACACACTGGGATATGTCTAACAAAGAGTCCAATCTGACTAACTGATGGAAAACTCAAAAGATACAAGACAGATAAAGAAATGCCTGAAGTTCTGGAAAAAAAAAGGTGATTGCCAGAGAGTTCCAGGACGACTATGACAATGAAGAGATGAATGACTCACTTGCCATATGTACTCCATGAGAGCATCCTTATTGTCGAGCCATTCCTGTTTGAGGGTGGAGGCTGCGGGGTATTTGTCACACCCCAGTTCCAGTGTTACCTCCATGTCATTAGACGAGAGGTAGTTGAAGTCCTGCATACCTAAAGAGAGAAAGAACAGGTAAGATTCTTCCCATCTTAGTTATTATTATCCAAAGCTCTCAAGTCATCTCCCATTCTCAACGTCATTTATCCATATATATCTTCCCCACTTTATATATCTCACCTATCTTAGACCTTTCACTATATACAGTACTGATATCTTTCCCATTATCGTCTATCTATCTACTTTTCTCACTAATCTATCGTTAACATACTCCTCTGTCTATCTTTAACACTACTCTATCTTGATCCCTTTTGGCTTAAATTCTGTCTTTAATCTTTCTCACTTATGCATTTTTAGCTTTCTCATGTACTCGTCTAAATTCTCTCTCTATATACATTTCTCTTTCTCACTATCTCATTTTTCTTGCTCACTTTATCAATCTTTACCTTTCTCACCTTTATCTATCTGCTGGTTTGGGGAAGGGGGAAGGGAGAAGAGGAGAGAAGAGATGAAAAGAGAAATGGAGAGAGAAAAGAGAGGGGAGAAAGGTTGTGAAAGAAAGATAAAGGAGTGAAAAAGAAAGAAAGAATAAAAGAGGGAACGAAGGAAGATGGAAAGAAAGTGAAGGAGATAAAGAGTGAAAGAGATATGGTGATTAGTCAAATGGGCGCCAGTCCTATTCGACCTAAACCTAACCATCAGGTCTGGTAGCCAGTCCTAATGAGCACCAAGTTAAGTTGCGTTAGATTGAGTCTGATGTTCCCAAATTATTGCTCGCAAGAACCACTGTCCTCCCTGATAGACTGGCAGTGCTTTTCTATAATACTTGCGAGCACAATATTAAGGAATGGTGCTTGCCAGTCTATAAGGATGAGAGTCCATTAGGGAACGAGACTTTATTAGGACTATGGCCAATCTGATTTGGAACCGAGAGTGAATTACCTCCACGGATGCTGTACCATGCGGCGCCATTAGTCACACCCCCATAAGGGCCAAATGAGTAATCGCCAGGACTGCAGGGCTTTCGGTGAGGGTCTGACATAGATGGGTGGTGGTTGGCGTACACCCTAGCCAGATGCCTGTGGGTAGAGATATCTTTTCATGTCACAGTCCATAGAAATTTACCTCTAACATTAAGTACCATACAACCAAGCCGAGAATTTACAAGAAGACATGTTTTTTGTTCTATATATTAACCACATTTTATAAATACAATACCCTAGTTCTGTATCTACGAATTTAACAGCTTAACTATACTGTTTCTTCTCTATTGATCAACCTCTTCTCTTCACAATCTTCGTTAAACTAATTATTATCCTATTCCTCCTCTACCTATCAAAAATATGTTTGCTAACAAATTAAATGTTTCTCTATCCATCAAAATCTCCACCTAACAGCTAAATTTCTATCTGTACATAATTCACTGGCCAGTTGTTATTTGGTGAAAGTATTTAAGTGACTTGCCAAGAGACATTAAAACGAGATATAGGAATCTGACACATATTAGACCAAGAGTTTAAAGCTGGCACAATCCTGTCCTGGGGTCATGGGTGAGTATGGGAGTAAACACGACATTTAGTGTATCAATCTAAAAATCAGTGTCATCAGCGTCAAACCAGTGCTCCTGAAGTTCAGTGATGGAAACAACCAACACTTTCGTGCTTGCTAAAACCCCCATTTGGCAGGACTTACTTGAATGTGTCATCATCAGGGGTGTGAGCATACTCCTGAACAGCCCCAGAGCGTGAGGCATCATAAGGATAGTTAGCTACCAGGTCTCCGCCGTGCAGGTTGGCTGACAGCACGAAAGGTGTACTCATGATCCATTTCATGGCTGCCCATGTCTCTGGCTGAGGCTGTAAGGGTAGGTAGACAGGTTAGTGGGGTTTTTTATCAAGTGTTACACAATACAAATAAATTTCCCCAGTAATCTATTTATCATCATTTAAGGTTTCTCAAGGAAATTCATAATACCAATACTCAAACATAGTTATATTCATTCACTCTGTTTGCTCCTCGCCTTATTAGTCATATTTACTGTAGTTTAAAGGCGATACAGTACAGTATGGGTATCATGGGGAAAATTAAATGTTCTGGAAAAGTGACTGATGGTCGTAGAAAAACACTTGATGCTTCATGGTCTATCTGAGAGGTCCTGGGACAGTACCTGATGGTTCATGGTCTACCTGAGAGGTCCCGGGACAGTACCTGATGGTTCATGGTCTACCTGAGAGGTCCTGGGACAGTACCTGATGGTTCATGGTCTACCTGAGAGGTCCTGGGACAGTACCTGATGGTTCATGGTCTATCTGAGAGGTCCTGGGACAGTACCTGATGGTTCATGGTCTACCTGAGAGGTCCTGGGACAGTACCTGATGGTTCATGGTCTACCTGAGATGTCTTGGGACAGTACCTGAAGGTTCATGGTCTACCTGAGAAGTCTTGGGACAGTACCTGATGGTTCATGGTCTACCTGAGAGATCTTGGGAGAGTACCTGATGGTTCATCTACCTGAGAGGTCTACAGTACTGAGGTCTACCTGAGAGGTCCTGGGACAGTACCTGATGGTTCATGGTCTACCTGAGAGGTCTTGGGACAGTTCTGATGGTTCATGGTCTACCTGAGAGGTCTTGGGACAGTACCTGATGGTTCATGGTCTACCTGAGAGGTCCTGGGACAGTACCTGATGGTTCATGGTCTATCTGAGAGGTCCTGGGACAGTACCTGATGGTTCATGGTCTACCTGAGAGGTCCTGGGACAGTACCTGATGGTTCATGGTCTACCTGAGATGTCTTGGGACAGTACCTGAAGGTTCATGGTCTACCTGAGAAGTCTTGGGACAGTACCTGATGGTTCATGGTCTACCTGAGAGATCTTGGGAGAGTACCTGATGGTTCATGGTCTACCTGAGAGGTCTTGGGACAGTACCTGATGGTTCATGGTCTACCTGAGAGGTCCTGGGACAGTACCTGATGGTTCATGGTCTACCTGAGAGGTCCTGGGACAGTACCTGATGGTTCATGGTCTACTTGAAAGGTCCTGGGACAGTACCTGATGGTTCATGATCTACCTGAGAGGTCCTGGGACAGTACCTGATGGTTCATGGTCTACCTGAGAGGTCTTGGGACAGTTCCTGATGGTTCATGGTCTACCTGAGAGGTCCTGGGACAGTACCTTATGGTTCATAGTCTATTTGAAAGGTCCTGGGACAGTACCTGATGGTTCATGGTCTACCTGAGAGGTCTTGGGACAGTTCCTGATGGTTCATGGTCTACCTGAGAGGTCCTGGGACAGTACCTGATGGTTCATGATCTACCCGAGAGGTCCTGGGACAGTACCTGATGGTTCATGGTCTACCTGAGAGGTCTTGGGACAGTTCCTGATGGTTCATGGTCTACCTGAGAGGTCTTGGGACAGTACCTGGTGGTTCATCATTCACCTGAGAGGTCTTGGGACAGTACCTGATGGTTCATGGTCTACCTGAGATGACAGTACCTGAAGGTTCATGGTCTACCTGGAAGTCTTGGGACACACCTGATGGTTCATGGTCTACCTGAGAGATCTTGGGACAGTACCTGATGGTTCATGATCTACCTGAGAAGTCCTGGGACAGTACCTGATGGTTCATGGTCTACCTGAGAGGTCTTGGGACAGTTCCTGATGGTTCATGGTCTACCTGAGAGGTCTTGGGACAGTACCTGGTGGTTCATGGTCTACCTGAGAGGTCTTGGGACAGTACCTGATGATACATGGTCTACCTGTGAGGTCCTGGGACAGTACCTGAGGTCTTGGAACAGTACCTGATGGTTCATGGTCTACCTGAGAGGTCTTGGGACAGTACCTGATGGTTCATGGTCTACCCGAGAGATCCTGGGACATTATCTGATGGATTATGGTCCATCCGAGAGGTCCTGGAACAGTACCTGATGGTTCATGGTCTACCTGAGAGGTCTTGGGACAGTACCTTATGGTTCATGGTCCATCTGAGAGGTCCTGGAACAGTACCTGATGGTTCATGGTCTATCTGAGAGGTCCTGAGACATTATCTGATGGTTTATGGTCCATCTGAGAGGTCCTGGGACAGTACCCGAGAGGTCTTAGGACAGTACCTGGTGGTCGAGGCCCAGAAGATGGTCCATGAGGTGGTTGTTGTGCTGTACATGTTGGTCCTCATTGCTGTACATGATGCGGTCCAGGTCTGGGAAGTCCCGGTTCAAGTCTACGCTGTTATTGTTGGCACGACCCTTGAGGTAGTCCCTGTGGCCCTGAGGGAGAGATAAGCGGGTCACGGGTCAAACGAGCCCTAATCTTAATAGGCCCCTAACCCAGTTAAATTCTTGTACACTGTTTAGGATTCACAACAACAGTTCATAGTTGTTATTGCACTACAATAGTAATTTTTGGCTTCATGGTCACATTATCAAGGTCTCCTAGACACAGAAGCTCCATAACAGTATTGTGTCATCTAAGAAACTCTAAAATGATCTCTTAATACCTAAAAGTAAACGTTTTCTGAGTTTTTATCTAAATGTACTGTATATTGGTTCACTTAAGTCTCAAGTTTGTACAACAGAAGACATCATTTCCACTAAAGACATTCTCTAGAGGTGGTCAAGCACAGCCTAACACGGGGCATACATCAGCTTTATTAAGAATAGATTTGGTTTACCTTAGTTTGCTTAACCACCTGTGAGGGGGTGAAGTTGGGTTAGTTACTTTAGGTTGGCAAATCGGCAAGTGTCATGTATGAAAACTACTAGCCATAATCCTGATCATAGTTGGACTAAGCTTAATGGGCTAAGTTGGTTTTATGTCTAATTAAACCTAAACCAGAGAGAGACCTTGACTGTGCCCTTGGTCCCACGTGACTTTCAACACTTACAGTTTCCGTAGAAAGCTGCCATCCGTCGGGGTTCATGGAGGGGAAGAGGTGAATTCTGGTGTTGGAGAGGAGGTTGCGAACGTCAGTGTTTCCAGCACGCCACTCGTTACACAGGTGGTCTGCCAGGCCCAGCACCAGCTCTCTGCCCAACACCTCATTACCGTGCATGTTGGCCACATATTTAAACTCCGGCTCCACTGTAACACAAAACATACATTATGTCTCCAACTGTACAAGCTTTACGTTCTATTTATTTTGGTTCTAATGCAAAGAAAATTTTTCAATGTTAAAACGTATAATTAAAATGAACTTGTAAAGTCTCACATTTTATTGTCATAAAACCTTGCAAAAAGTTTTAGGCTGTTCATAAGAACACAAATCATATGTCAAAACAATATCACACTGTAGTATGAATGTATGGAATAAGTGGCCTACAAGTGTGTTAATTACTTATAGACTACTATACAATCGGTGCATACAGTACGTAAAGTACGATTACACTAAATATGTATTTTCAAGCCACCAATAGTAGGTCAAGGATTATGTTTTCCGTCTTAAATGGGCAGGGGGAGGGGAGGGAGGCAACGATGACAAGAATAAAAGCCTTACATAACTCATGTTGTCCAGGATCATCTGAGAGTTCCAGGACCCAGAGAGGAACGTTCCTGACCGAGGGCACGCTGAGGGCATAAAGACGGGCCACGTCCTTGCAGCGCTCGGCCACACTCCGAAGTACCTCCTCTAACTCCTGGTTGTTGTGGTGCTTCCATTCAAACTCCGACTCGCTGTTCTTCTGTAAGAAATAGGTTTACCGAAATAAGTCAGAGACAACCAAATAAGTTATCCAGTTCTAACAAGCCTCACCTGTGCCCACATGTGACTGAATGAAGTATCTTCCCGGGGTTTTGACAAATACATCACACACCGGTTGAGCCATTCAACACACACATGTGTTGGCAGACCTGTGGAACCTTGGAAAGGGGTCGCCAGTGACACTATTCACAGTGTTGGGTAGTCAGGTTTATTATACTTCACCCAAAGCTGGCAAGATACTTCATTCTCTCTCTCTCTCTCAGAGAGAGGGAGAGAGAGAATGCAATATTTTGTGCAATTTAGGTTTTGAGTTCCCGGAAGCACATCCAGTACATTAGGGTCCTGATTTTCAAAGGCTAGGAAGGATCTAGAGTGGTCGAAAAAATGGCTGCTAAAATTCGAAGTCACGAAGTTTAAGAGCTTTGGTCGTACCAACAGTAAGGAGTTGTATCACATGTCCCAACAGGAAGAAACAGCATTAACAGAGAGGGAATGTGAAAAGGACCTGGGTGTGTTATTGAGCTGAAGTTCTCGGGCCATTGTGAGGTGACTAAAACAAATAAGCTAGTGGATCTTATACGGCGTTCAGATATCTACAGTAGACGGTCCGTCGCTTGTAACGCTCTTCAAGACTGAGGTGCTTCCCCGCGTGGTCCCCGAGATATGCTAGAGACTGTTAATTGATTGAAAATGCCCAAAGGAGGGCACCTCATTAATCCAGAGAGGTTAGAGCGCCTGCAACTACCTAGCTTATAAGCGGGCAAGAAGTGACCTAATTGAAGTTTATAAACATCTCGGAGGACACTCCTCAGTTGAGTGTTCATACCTGGAGCTGGTGGACGTCAGCCCCACAAGTGGTCACAGCTCAAGGTTGAAGAAGCCACAAGTCCAGAAAACTGTGAGAGCGAACTTTTTTGTCATGAGAATTATGAACTCTTGGAACAATCTGCCAGTGTGTGTTGTGACGGCACCGAGTGTGAGCTCTTTCAAGACCAGACTTGACCAACACTGGAGCAGGTTTAGATACATTCAGGAGCCGGTGCATGCCCAGTACTTGTCAACAGTGCGTAACAGAGACTTGACCGACCGCCCAAGCGGCTACCGAGCCGATCAGTGGCGAAGAAGATAAAAGTAAAAAAGTAAAAGTAATCATGACAGTTATTATCCTTCGACATTCCCATCGCCATCTCCTACACCAGAGCCTTAAAAAAATGGACAAATAACATTCACAATCATAAAACTTTTCCTCAATACCGCACCATGAGTCTAGGTTCTTCCTGGGATGTAAACACTAACTATGGTATACAGTAATATAAGAGCTTCCATTACCTAATGTTATGTGTATTCGTTTAAAAAAATATTTGTACATACATAATAAACTTATTTAACGAACGGTATCACAGAAGCAGAGTTAGTAAGTCGGTGATACGGTAAGTAGGAGCTGAGGTAAGTCGGTGATAAGGTAAGTAGGAGCTGAGGTAAGTAGGAGCTGAGGTAAGTAGGAGCTGAGGTAAGTCGGTGATAAGGTAAGTCGGTGATAAGGTAAGTAGGAGCTGAGGTAAGTAGGAGTTGAGGTAAGTAGGGGCTGAGGTAAGTAGGTGATAAGGTAAGTAGGAGCTGAGGTAAGTAGGTGATAAGGTAAGTAGGAGCTGAGGTAAGTAGGAGCTGAGGTAAGTTGGAGTTGAGGCAAGCAGAGTTGAGGTAAGTAGGAGCTAGTAGGGCTGGGGTAAGTGGGTGTTCAAGGTAGTAGGGCTGAGGTGATGGGGTAAGCGGGTGATAAGGTAGAAGTGGGAGCTAAGGGGTGAAGTGGGTGATGCAAGGTGGTGGGGCTGAGGTGAAGTAAGTGATGAATTGAAGTGAGGGCTGAGAATTAGTAGGTGATAAGGTAAGTAGGAGCTGAGGTAAGTAGGTGATAAGGTAAGTAGGAGCTGAGGTAAGTAGGAGTTGAGGCAAGCAGAGTTGAGGTAAGCAGGTGTAGAGGTAAGTCGGTGATAAGGTAAGTAGGAGCTGAGGTAAGTAGGAGCTGAGGTAAGTAGGAGTTGAGGTAAGTGGGGGCTGAGGTAAGTAGGTGATAAGGTAAGTAGGAGCTGAGGTAAGTAGGTGATAAGGTAAGTAGGAGCTGAGGTAAGTAGGAGCTGAGGTAAGTAGGAGTTGAGGCAAGCAGAGTTGAGGTAAGTAGGAGCTGAGGTAAGCAGGTGATAAGGTAAGTAGGAGCTGAGGTAAGCAGGTGATAAGGTAAGTAGGAGTTGAGGTAAGTAGGTGCAGATCTAGACAAAAGATGAGGTTAAATAACAAAAATACTCACCACAGGTACCACAGCCGGGAGAGCAGGCGAGGCCACCCACAGGACCACACTCAACACCGCCCACATTGCCCCTATACCTGTGAAGGCCAATGTTTATTACATTACATGATGGGTGGTAAATAGCTTTCTCCACTACCAGCACTCTTCATCGTCTATGTGTACACTCCATTCACCTAGTAAGCCACAACAGCACCCAATATCCCACAAACATTACCATCATTATTTCCTAAAGTGTCCTGGCAAATCAACAATACTACCTCCCCTCATCAGTGTACTGTATATATTGTACACGCCAACAAAGTTTCAAACACACTATAACTACCCAAATCCCTTTCCTCCCCAATGAGTATAATAATTGCAAATCAAGAATAGGGAAAACAAACATGACTGAGAAACGTATATGCGTATGGTAGTCAATTTTTAGGGTAGCTTGAGAACACGTTAATTCAGCAGTCTTTGTATACAATCTTAGCGGACTACATGCCTACAAGTGGTGGTTTTCAGTTAAACACATGTGATTCACAATAAAATCATTGCCAGTACACATTAAATACATCATTCATACTGCATATAAATACACGTTTAAATACCTGTTCAGCGTCCTGTTAATGGCTCTTGATAAATCTACAGTAGTTCCTAGGGATAAAATAAGATAACACCATTTGAAGTTATCTAACATAGGAAATTTTCTAAGGATGGTCAGTGTTTGTGGCTGAACTGAACCACCACAAAGAACATTGATCATGTGCAGCCAAATGAATACTGTACAATGAAAGACAAAATTAGTGTCGTGAAATTTGGTGAAAACACATGCCGAAAGGCTAAAACTTTTAGTGCTTTTTGATTATACATCATGCATGACTCTCCGACTGTCAATATTGCTATGACACACTGGCACTATTTCAACAAGGCTGTCATGACTCCTGCACAATGTCAACAAAGCTGGGTTATGATGCTGGCACTATGTCAATAAGACTATGTCATGACTCCAGTACTATGGCAACAAGACTATCATGACTCCAGTACTATGTCAACAAGACTATCATGACTCCAGTACTATGTCAACAAGACTATCATGACTCCAGTACTATGTCAACAAGACTATCATGACCCCAGTACTATGGCAACAAGACTATCATGACTCCAGTACTATGTCAACAAGACTGTCATGACTCCAGTACTATGTCAACAAGACTATCATGACTCCAGTACTATGTCAACAAGACTATCATGACCCCAGTACTAGCACTAACATGGCTATATATGACTCCAGTACTATGTCAACAAGACTATCTGGAAACAAGTACTATGTCAACAAGACTATCGCTCGGTACTATGTCGCTTAAGACTATCATGACTCCAGTACTATGTCTAACAGACTATCATGACTCCAGTACTATGTCAACAAGACTATCATATTGTACAGTACTATGGCAACAAGACTATCATGACTCCAGTACTATGTCAACAAGACTATCATGACTCCAGTACTATGTCAACAAGACTATCATGTCTCCAGTACTATGTCAACAAGACTATCATGACTCCAATACTATGGCAACAAGACTATCATGACTCCAGTACTATGTCAACAAGACTATCATGACTCCAGTACTATGTCAACAAGACTATCATGACTCCAGTACTATGTCAACAAGACTATCATGACTCCAGTACTATGTCAACAAGACTATCATGACTCCAGTACTATGTCAACAAGACTATCATGACTCCAGTACTATGTCAACAAGACTATCATGACTCCAGTACTATGTCAACAAGACTATCATGACTTCAGTACTATGGCAACATGACTATCATGACTCCAGTAATATGTCAACAAGACTATCATGACTCCAGTACTATGGCAACAAGACTATCATGACTCCAGTACTATGGCAACAAGACTATCATGACTCCAGTACTATGTCAACAAGACTATCATGACTCCAGTACTATGTCAACAACACTATCATGACTTCAGTACTATGTCAATAAGACTCATGACTCCAGTACTATGTCAACAAGACTATCATGACTCCAGTACTATGTCAACAAGACTATCATGACTCCAGTACTATGTCAACAACACTATCATGACTTCAGTACTATGTCAACAAGACTATCATGACTCCAGTACTATGGCAACAAGACTATCATGACTCCAGCACTATGGCAACAAGACTATCATGACCCTAGTAGTACTATGGCAACAAGACTATCATGACTCCAGTACTATGGCAACAAGACTATCATGACTCCAGTACTATGTCAACAAGACTATCATGACTCCAGTACTATGTCAACAAGACTATCATGACTCCAGTACTATGTCAACAAGACTATCACTGACCCCACAGTACTATGGCAACAAGACTATCATGACTCAGTACTATGTCAACAAGACTATCGCTGACTCAGTACTATGTCAACAAGACTATCATGTCTCCAGTACTATGTCAACAAGACTATCATGACTCCAATACTATGGCAACAAGACTATCATGACTCCAGTACTATGTCAACAAGACTATCATGACTCCAGTACTATGTCAACAAGACTATCATGACTCCAGTACTATGTCAACAAGACTATCATGACTCCAGTACTATGTCAACAAGACTATCATGACTCCAGTACTATGTCAACAAGACTATCATGACTCCAGTACTATGTCAACAAGACTATCATGACTCCAGTACTATGTCAACAAGACTATCATGACTCCAGTACTATGTCAACAAGACTATCATGACTTCAGTACTATGGCAACATGACTATCATGACTCCAGTAATATGTCAACAAGACTATAAGACTATCATGACTCCAGTACTATGTCAACAAGACTATCATGACTCCAGTACTATGTCAACAAGACTATCATGACTCCAGTACTATGTCAACAAGACTATCATGACTTCAGTACTATGGCAACATGACTATCATGACTCCAGTAATATGTCAACAAGACTATCATGACTCCAGTACTATGGCAACAAGACTATCATGACTCCAGTACTATGGCAACAAGACTATCATGACTCCAGTACTATGTCAACAAGACTATCATGACTCCAGTACTATGTCAACAACACTATCATGACTTCAGTACTATGTCAATAAGACTCATGACTCCAGTACTATGTCAACAAGACTATCATGACTCCAGTACTATGTCAACAAGACTATCATGACTCCAGTACTATGTCAACAACACTATCATGACTTCAGTACTATGTCAACAAGACTATCATGACTCCAGTACTATGGCAACAAGACTATCATGACTCCAGCACTATGGCAACAAGACTATCATGACCCTAGTAGTACTATGGCAACAAGACTATCATGACTCCAGTACTATGGCAACAAGACTATCATGACTCCAGTACTATGTCAACAAGACTATCATGACTCCAGTACTATGTCAACAAGACTATCATGACTCCAGTACTATGTCCAGCAAGACTATCATGACTCAAAGTACTATGGCAACAAGACTATCATGACTCCAGTACTATGTCAACTTAAGACTATCATGACTCCAGTACTATGGCAACAAGACTATCATGACTCCAGTACTATGTCAACAAGACTATCATGACTCCAGTACTATGGCAACAAGACTATCATGACTCCAGTACTATGTCAACAAGACTATCATGACTCCAGTACTATGTCAACAAGACTATCATGACTTCAGTACTATGTCAACAAGACTATCATGACTCCAGTACTATGTCAACAAGACTATCATGACTCCAGTACTATGTCAACAAGACTATCATGACTCCAGTACTATGTCAACAACACTATCATGACTTCAGTACTATGTCAACTCAAGACTATCATGACTCCAGTACTATGGCAACAAGACTATCATGACTCCTATGCAACTATGGCAAACAAGACTATCATGACTCCTAGTAGTACTATGGCAACAAGACTATCATGACTCCAGTACTATGGCAACAAGACTATCATGACTCCAGTACTATGTCAACAAGACTATCATGACTCCAGTACTATGTCAACAAGACTATCATGACTCCAGTACTATGTCAGCAAGACTATCATGACTCAAGTACTATGGCAACAAGACTATCATGACTCCAGTACTATGTCAACAAGACTATCATGACTCCAGTACTATGGCAACAAGACTATCATGACTCCAGTACTATGTCAACAAGACTATCATGACTCCAGTACTATGGCAACAAGACTACCATGACTCCAGTACTATGGCAACAAGACTATCATGACTCCAGTACTATGGCAACAAGACTATCATGACTCCAGTACTATGGCAACAAGACTATCATGACTCCAGTACTATGTCAACAAGACTATCATGACTTCAGTACTATGGCAACAAGACTATCATGACTCCAGTACTATGGCAACAAGACTATCATGACTCCAGTACTATGGCAACAAGACTATCATGACTCCAGTACTATGGCAACAAGACTATCATGACTCCAGTACTATGGTAACAAGACTATCATGACTCCAGTACAATATGGACTAACATGAGACTATCATGACTCCAGTACTATGTCAACAAGCAATCAAGACTATCATGACTCCACTATGTCAACAAGACTATGTCTCCAGTACTATGTCAACAAGACTATCATGACTCCAGTACTATGGCAACAAGACTATCATGACTCCAGTACTATGACTATCATGACTCCAGTACTATGGCTATCATGACTCCAGTACTGGATATATGGTGACAAGACTATCATGACTCCAGTACTATGTAACTCATTGTGTCACTATCATGACTCCAGTACTATGTCAACAAGACTATCATGACTCCAGTACTATGTCAACAAGACTATCATGACTCCAGTACTATGGCAACAAGACTATCATGACTCCATACTATGGCAACAAGACTATCATGACTCCAGTACTATGTCAACAAGACTATCATGACTCCAGTACTATGGCAACAAGGATATATCATGATTCCAGCATTAACTCATTGTGTCACTTTAGTAACATGGCTCTAAGAATGTATAATATTCTATCTACAACACATTAGCCATTAACCCATACAGTATAGTCTACTGTTATTGCTGGCCGTAGAGATAATTTACCTACAGTACACACATAATTAAACTTAAAATATTCAATATATTGTAAGATTTTATCAGATTCCTCAAATATTTTTTTTTATAATTCACGGAACAAGTTCAAAAATTTGTACTACAACACTTACAGTGACAGTCCTCTGTAGTAATGGTGTTGATAATGGGATTTTTAATATTACATAAGAGTATTTTGCGAGTCTACTAATTTGGTAACTGCATAATTACGGTCGAGGTGGAAAATCAAACCTTTGAATTTTCTACCACACAGGTTAACAATCACTCTTTTGTGTAAAAATATAAGACTCGCTTCCTACAGTTACGGTTCATAAATTCCAGAGGAGGTTTAAGAACATGACCAGTATGGAGACTATTCCTGAATTATATATACATATACACTTGGTAATTCTTAAGACTATAGAATTCAATTAAGGTAGAGAATATTTACCAAAAGTTAATTTTAATTCTACCGACTAACAGCTATTAGGTCAATGCATCTATTTGAAGTCTTAAGGGTAATTTGGATACTTTTTTCGGATTATTGCGTCTTAATTTAAGTCAACCGTTTAGGTAGTTAACTGCATCAGTCAAGACGAATAATCATCGAACGAACCTTTAAGGACACAGCCCCTACATGTGTATTGATGACTAAGAGTTGTTTGCCAAGCACAACATATGGAGGGTGTTGTTGGGCTGCTTGACTTTTATAGACGTGTGGGTGTTATCACTGTAGTTGGGTACATCATCAGACACAGAGCGCTGCCACAAAGCGACATTCTAAATATGCTATGCTGACCAGATTTCACTGGCCAGGATATCAACACGTAATAATATGTTGACAAGTGGTCGAAATGGAGTCACTAATTTCTAATGTGAATTATCCGAAACAATAACAATTGTCTTGGTGGTTTCACCCTAAGAACATCTTTACTTAAAAATCATTTGGCATAGTTGAATATAAGAACATAAGAAAATAAGGAGTCTGCAATATATAAGCAGTAGCGAAATGGAGGGAAGTAAAACTTACCTAGCTGTTGCCTGTGTGGTTGTTAGACTAGTGCACCTTCTCAGTTACTCAATCGGCCCGCGCAAGCGCATTACTGGTTCTTTACACCAACACTCACTTCATGTTATAGAATACAAAACTGTATATTCAATTTTAAATTTCTAAAAATAAATCTCTATTTTAAGTCATCATCTATGAAAGGATAAATATATTTATATATTTTGTTGTAAATAAAGTAAGGCAGGATATTGATCCTTGGCGTTAAGGTTACCATAACAACGGAGCGTAGGCGTGTGACGTCACTGTGACGTAGACGAGGTATACGTATACGTCACCCGGGTCCCGAGACTCCCGAGTGAGACCCGACACGAAACTAATTGTTGTTTTTGTGTTGCGTGGGTTTGAGTGATGCCCTTGATACTATATTTAGATGAAAAAGCAGTACAGTTTAATTTTTGATATGGTTTCTGAAACTCATTTTGGTTACTCATTATAAATGCTACTTCTGGTGGTATTGTAGCGTACCGTACTGTATGTGGCCAGTTGTCAATTCTCTTTGTATGGGCACACAAACGTACGTACATGTAGATATCTCACACTCAGGAATGAGGTAGGATAGAAACTCACAATGCGCTTTCTGTATATATATTGTTGTACAGCGCAGTGCTTAGGAGTGACTAGGTGAGGAGAAACTTGCTCAGAGGTCCTGTAGGGCGAGGAGGTTTCTGAGGAAGCTGAGTGGTGAGGAGCTGTGAGAGATGTTGCTGGTCCAGTAGCCGAATGTAGAATGGTCTCCCTGGCCAGGCATGGCCGTATTTATACAATTTACGAGGATCAGGATTTGGGGTGAGCGTAGCGAGAGGGCCAATCACAGCGGCTTAAGCGTAAGGTGTGAAACGCTCTGATCCTGAACCGGAGGTTGAAGGTCGAGACTAGGTCGGCGATCGTACCCCTACGTCCTCTGCATAGACCTAGTCTCTCGGCGTAGCTGGCTGTACACAGTCACACTCTCTAACCCTCTCTCACCATGAACAGTTACGAGTTTGATTACGTGGCGCGGATATGTCCGGATACGCCGACCTGCCCCAAGAAACTAAACCTCCTAGTTCTCCAGAAGTTCTTTGAAACTAAAGGGATCGTGGGAGTCACCAAGGTGGAATGACTGAAGTTCCATGGTGACATCAAGATCACCTTCGCCGAGAAGGGCATGCCCGTACAGCTCGCGGAGATCCCAGACATCAACGGCATTCCATTTAAAATGATTGCCTACATGTGGGACAACCTGAAGCTGGGAGTAATCTCCCACGCCGAAATTGCCCACGTGGACCAAGCAGAGCTGAGTGAGCTCCTCAAGGGGCAACTCCAAGTTGTGAAGAAGCTGTCCGACACCACTGCCCTCATCGGACACCACTCCACCTTACCCAAGGAGGCTCAACTGGCGTGGGTAACTGCGCCAGTCAAGCTCTACTGCAGACCGAAACGGTGTTACAAATGCCAGCACTACGGACACACTGTAAACAAGTGTGAGGCGCAGGAGGACACCTGCTCCATGTGTAGCAGCCCCGGACACCGCTACACGGTCTGCCCCAACACTGTAAAAAAATGCGCTGCTTGTGGTGGCCCACACTCCTCCGCCGATCGTACCTGCCCGAAATGGAAGGAGGAATGCAGGATTGCCAAGGCTCGTCTTGACAAGAAACTGAGCTACAAAGAGGCCCTCCTTGCTGTACGCTCCCAAGACAAAAAAAAACCAGAAGAAAAGAAAAACCAAGAAAAGAAAACTCAAGAGAAGACACCCACCACACAGAACCAAGAACACCACGAGGCCCGTGGAGCTGAAGCCCACGTGGTCAACCTCACCGTCTCTGACTTCTTCCACACCTATGAGGACTTAAAACACGAGGAAGACGAACAACAAGACCCAAACACAAATGAATGGACACTTCAAGAGAGCAAGAAGAGAAGGAGAGTGAGAAGAAAATCGACATCAAGCTAAGAAGACCAAGACATCCCCTCCACACAAGAAACCAAAACACAATCAAGCCGACCAAGCACTGAACATCCATTGCCCAACCCAACACGCACCTGACGCTTGACCTGACGCTAGCCTGGCCTTGTCTTGTCGCCTCCCTGCCGCGTCCAGGCGGGTTGCTGCTGCCTCCATCTTATAATCCCTCACGCAAGCGGTGTTTAGCCACTGCATCTGTTCTCTCCTCCTAAAATTCACTTCAATCCTCCCTTTATTCTTCTCCTGAACCTCCTTCCCCCCTGTCACTAGCATTTTTCGATTCGATTCGGCTGTACGCGTCACACTCTCTCTCCCTCACCATGAACGGTTACGAGTTTGTTAACGTGGCGCGGATACGTCCGGACACGCCGACCTGCCCCAAGAAACTAAACCTCCTAGTTCTCCAGAAGCTTTTCGAAGCTAATGGGATCGTGGGGGTCACCAAGGTAGAACGCCTAAAGCTCCATGGTGACATCAAGATCACCTTCGCCGAGAAGGGCATGCCCGCTCAACTCGCGGAGATCCCAGACATCAACGGCATTCCTTTTAAAATGTTTGCCTTCATGTGGGACAACTTGAAGCTGGGTGTAATCTCCCACGCCGAAATTGCCCACATGGACAAAGCAGAGCTGAGTGAGCTCCTCAAGGGGCAGCTTCAAGTTGTGAAGAAGCTGTCCGACACCACTGCCCTCATCGGACACCACTCCACCCTACCCAAGGAAGCTCAACTGGCGTGGGTAACTATGCCAGTCAAGCCCTACTGCAGACCGAAACGGTGTTACAAATGCCAGCACTATGGACACACTGTAAACAAGTGTGAGGCGCAGGAAGACACCTGCTCCATGTGTGGCAGCCCTGGACACCGCTACACGGCCTGCCCCAACACAGAGAAAAAATGCGTTGCCTGTGGTGGCCCACACTCCTCCGCCGACCGGACCTGCCCCAGATGGAAGGAGGAATGCAGGGTAGCCAAGGCTCGTCTTGAGAAAAAACTGAGCTACAAAGAGGCCCTCCTTGCTGTACGCTCCCAAGAAAAGAAAAAACCAGCAGTAAAGAAAAACCAAGAAAAGAAAACTCAACAGAAGCAGCCCACCACACAGAACCAAGAACACCACGTGGCCCGTGATGCTGAAGCCCACGAGGCCTGTGGTGCTGAAGCCCACGTGGTCAACCTCTCCCTCTCTGAATTCTTCCACACCTATGAGGACTTAAAACACGAGGAAGACGAACAAGAAGACCCAAACACAAACGAATGGACAATTCAAGAGAGCAAGAAGAGGAGGAGAGTGAGAAGAAAATCTACATCAAGCTAAGAAGACCAAGACATCCCCTCCACACAAGAAACCAAAACACAATCAAGCCGACCAAGCACTGAACATCCATTGCCCAACCCAACACGCACCTGACGCTTGACCTGACGCTAGCCTGGCCTTGTCTTGTCGCCTCCCTGCCGCGTCCAGCCGGGTTGTTGCTGCTGCCCCCATCTTATAATCCCTCACGCAAGCGGTGTTTAGCCACTGCATCTGTTCTCTCCTCCTAAAATTCACTTCAATCCTCCCTTTATTCTTCTCCTGAACCTCCTTCCCCCCTGTCACTAGCATTTTTCGATTCGATTCGGCTGTACGCACCCCCTCACGCAAGCGGTGTTTAGCCACTGCACCTGTTCTCTCTTTCTAAAATTCACTTCTATCCTCCCTTTATCCTTCCCCTGAACCTCCTTCCCCCCTGTCACTATCATTTTTCGATTCGATTCGCTGTACGCTGATTGGCTGGTAGGCGCGCGGCCGGAGCTCATTTGGGAGTTGTAGGGGAGAGGAGCCACTACAGTATATTTAGATCCAATTCATAAATCGATACATTTATGGTTTTCACTGGAAGGTGACGACTGATGTATACAATTAGACTACGAACTGTGGCACCTCTTTAAAGGTGCCCATTTATTACGCTGTACTGTACTATTCTTTACATTTAGGGATTTCAGTTGCCTTTGGTGTTAAAACGCTAATCACTGCGTTTAATCTGAACACATAACTTTGCATATGCATTTTAGATTGATAGTGTAGCAACAGGTCTTTTAAATTTCATAAAGGTGAAAACAAAGCTAAAGTATCTGACACAAGATTAGAAGACACTCCAAGACCTAATTTTATCACACTACCGAGATTCACACGAACCCTACAATTCTCTTTCAATAATTACAGGTAGATGTGGTTGTTTAGGTAAAGCTGGTAGACAAAGTAAATTTGTACTAGGAAGCTTACAAAATCTAGTAAACGTTACTTATATAAAGCTACCAGCAGCGAATGCGTAACTATTGAACAGCTTATTTTTTTTTCAGTTCGTACGTAAATGACAAGATTCGTCCACACTAGATGGGGAAGTGGGGGGTAAGCGAGCATTAAGTAACTACGCTTGATTTGTACCTAAAACTTGAAAGTGTTTTATTTATATCGCATCGCCGAATACAAATTTGTACATGTTGCGAGGTACATGCATGCTAGATACCCCACTCTTGAAAAACTGACGGTTTTGTGCATGAAATACATATACTGTACTCTACAATGAATGATCATGGTGAGAGAGTTTGTGGATTGAAATGTTTCCGGGTGAACATATTGATTTCCCGGAGACAGATTTCAACGAATCTCATCAGTTACTAATGTGAAATTCACCAGAACACTCATTAACACAATGAAATCGACGGACATTATAAGAGATACAGCGAATTAGTAGGAAACTGACGATTAAATGCGCCAAAACAAAAATATGCTACTAGAATTAGTTATACCTTTCATATCAATTATACACCCATACACCTATACTTAATATTTTATACTGCAAATCTACCAATGGGACAATAAATCCAGATAACATCAGTGGACGATTTTTGCATAACTGTTGCTATTCTTATTATTTATAGTAACTCATGAACCAATCTAAATACTTACCAACGCATCCACACTACAATTACAATATTAGGCTCCATATTTGTTTATCTGCTAGCCAGTCATGAGGCGAGTGTCTTCTATGATCTTCCACGGCAGCCATCTTTGTTTGTACACTGAGCATTCACTGGAGTGTACAATGTACTGTACATGATTGTCACGGCATAACTTACTGAAAGGACACTTTTTACTCATTAATGGCAAAATATTTAAAATTACAATAAAGGATTGTCATTATCTAAGGCATAATCATGTCAACAAGAAAACCTGTACATTAGTTTACTTTAAAAAATCTATTTAATAAACCAACTGTGAATATCACATCTGCAATTCCTATTCTGAAGCCTAAGGGCTATTTCAGATTTCAAAGCTGACATATTACAGTTTTTGGAGAGCAAACAATAAAAAAAATGACAAGTGACTCAATTTTGAGACCACAGATCCATGAATCAACCATGGTAGCACAAGTGTCTGAAGTTGTGTGTGATATTTTTTCTTTATTCAGCTACAGGGAAGGTATCTACAGAATATAAGTATAATGAAGCTTAGTGACAGACTTCATAACTTTAGTATCATGCAGTTCTGCCAGCTCAACTTAAGAGCTCATTTAAAGAATCTACCAAACAGTCACGTGTTTAGCATATTCATAAAACTGTCCAGTGGTGTATACAGTATCAAATTATCATGTACATTATAGAACTACAAACTAACAGTAGAGGTGCTCAGAAAATATGACTCAATAACCCTTACACTTTCTTGGTCCTTCTTCTGACTCGCACATGACTTCAATTGGATCACAATATAAGGAAGTTGAACCTCGCTCTTAGGATCCCCCAATAAATCCTAGAATGGACAGTGCTACAGGCTGACCTCGCAAATTCATCTCAGAAAAATTGATTTATTTACAGCTATTCCACTCTATGTAAACTACGTAGCTTAGAAACAAAGAATATATAACAAAATAAGAAAAATGAAGAGCATGGGTGTGTATGTACAGTATATGAAGGCAGTGGGCTTTAACTGTGTGGCTGTGCTCCCTCCTGATGCGAGATCATGGCAGACACACAGGACAGCGCGGTAACCACACGTCTGTGATTCACCTGACTGAACTCTGTCATGTTGCCCAGAGAGTAGTTTGAGTGAAGGAGCTATTCTTTGTACATATATATGTGCTATTGTATTGTATAATATGTTATGTATAAATTGTATTATCATCGCAATAAATATGGCAGCTCATCCCTGTTGTGCAAGGTATGAAAAATTAGGATTCTAGCTAATTTGGGAGGAATTTTAAATTTTTATAATTTCATTTTGGTGCCGGTTAGTGGCGTCTGACGGTTACCCAGACTACAGATAACCAGGCTTCTAATGTATTATGTATCCCTTCATCAATGTACAGGTATTTAATATTTTTCTACAAAATTAAAGAGAACAAGAAGGAAAATACAAATAAAACAGCAAGTATATCATATATCTAATTTCATTTTGAGAGCTGTGTTTTTACAAATTTGCAGCAGGGAACATATAAATGTAATGAAGTACAGGCCAAGGCTGGAACAAAACCTTTAGCTGCAAAGCACATTTCATGATCTAGTGCTGAACCCTACAGGATTGCCACCATTTACCTTGTTACAACATGTCAATTATAACAACAGGATGTTTTGGTCATCATAAACCACATACGCAAAGTCAGCATTTTGAAACTTACATAATGTTCTGTGAATCTTCTTCTTAACCAAGCAATTTCCAAAAGTAATTAGCATCTCAATTTTTTTTTTCACTGGCTAAAAGCTGTGAAACAGTGCTAGTAATTTCAATACATACATGATTTTACTACTATTTATTATAAGTGAAGGCATTTCTGTCTGTGACCCAATTGATAATGGTAATCGTTGTGGATAGAAAGCTGTGGTGCAGTGAGTTGGTAATCCAGGACTTACAATTGTGTGAGGTCCACAATGAGATCACTTGTGACATAAAACACAGGAAGATGTGCGAGTGAACGAGCACCAGCTGGTTCACCATTTTCCAGTCACGCTAACTGTTCACCCGCCATATGGAATTCTAGTCAGAATTGGAATGTAACAAGAGCTTTCAGAGTAGCATAAGCTAATCACCACTAACAGCAAACGTTGCTAAGCTATGTGTATTGCCTATATGCAGCATGGCTGGTTGTGGTATCATAGCTTACCAGATGAGTACCCCCCTGTGTGGTCAGTCAAGCTGGAGTGGACCACTCACACACTTCCAGAATAGAACTACACTCACACTTTTCTTCTTTGTACTGAACTAAAATAACTAAAATTTTAGGTCAATTTAAGATTCAGAGCAGATTTGGTATTTCAAATTTATAAATATCACATGGATTAGCTATGTAGCCTTACAAATTGATACAAATTTATATCCTTTCACTGCAAAAATATGCCGACCCTGTGAGAACTTCCCTAGTTATCCACTTAAAGAGTTATAATGCATTTACTTCTAAAAGGAAAGCAACTAGTTGATAGTGAAGTATATTGCCGGCATAACCAGTTCTGAGAAAGAAACTGGGATGATGGTGTGCATAGCTGTAACATGATAATGAGGTTGCAAAGTGATACCAGTAGGTAGCACGGACCGTCACAAGAGTCCGGGACAAGGTCTGGCCTCATAATGTGCAAGATTGGGCTTGTATGTCATAAGAGTTACACAGAAGATACCTTTAGTTATCAGATACCCTCTGCACTATGTAGCCAAAATAAGCTTTTCACAGAAAAGCTAAAGGGATAGCCAAAGCCTACATGTGACAGGCGAGAGTGACCTGCTGCTGTTGCTGCGCCAAGTGAAACAAGCATTTCCTGCCTACACTAACCCTCCCTGGCCAACACATCTTCCTCACCATTAATGGGAAATACAACATTGAGCAAAAAATTATCAAGGCTAAATGTAAGAATATTACAAAGTTCCAACATTACGCCTGAATTATAATAATAATATATATACAGTATATATATATATATATATATATATATATATATATATATATATATATATATATATATATATATATATATATATATATATATATATATATATATATATATATATATATATACACACATACAGGTTGACAATCCCTTATCCGAAATCCTTGGGACCAGATGCATTTCGGTTTTTGGAATTTTTCGGATTTCAGAATGTTTTTTCTCTCTCTCTCTCTCTCTCTCTCCAGGGATCAGCCCACCCGGACACAGGTCACTGACTCACATTGGGGCCTGGGGGCTAAAATATAATAATAATAATTACTGTATAATAATATTGTCATAATAATTCATAGGTCTAGGTCATGTTTCTCACTTTTGATCTTTTTTTCGTTCTTGTATTCTTTATTATTATTATTTCATTATTACAGTATTATTATTATTATTATTATTATTATTATTATTGTTGTTATCATTCTTATTTTATTTTTGTGTATTTTTATTAAAAATTTTATTTACTATGAATAATTATTATTATTACTGTATTATCATTATTATTATTACCTTTATTATTGTATTATTATAATTATTATTACTATTACATTTTCACCCCCCAGGCCCTGATGTGGGTCAATGACCTGTGCCCGGGTGGGCTATCCCAAAAAAAAAAAGCTCCACAAATTTTTTTTCGGTTTTCGGAATTTCGGATAAAGGGTTGTCAACCTGTATATATATATATATATATATATATATATATATATATATATATATATATATATATATATATATATATATATATATATATATATATATATATATATATATATATATATATATATATATATATATATATATATATATATATATAATATATATATAGTCTGCACCACATTGGTTGCAAATACATAAATTTACATATAAACCTAAGAAAAAGAAATTAAAAGGTATTACTCATTTGAAATCTTGGCCAGTCTTTTTTTTTAATGAGAAAAGTAATTCTAGCATCCACAGAATTTCCTTAAGTGGGTGTATAAAGGATGGTCATGAGGTACACCACATGACTGCCTCACCCATAATCCATGAAAAAGTCCTGTGGTAATGTGATTAAAGCATATTAATGGGTTCTCATCAGGTCAAAACCTAACTGACAGTTGTAAACTTTACCCTATATTAAAGAAATGAGTAGAGAGATTATTATCAATTGGTTACAAGGCAAAAATAAAGATAATTTAATCTGATCAATGACCCAATAGTGACTTTGATGCGCTCTAGCTGTTGTGAAGGTCAAAGTAAATTTAATCAGAACATTGTTATTGTCACATCTTCAGCCATGAGGAGGATGACATAAACATGGCATACTTGAGAGTAAAGGCATCTGCACCATCTGGGAATCAGTAAGCACCACCAAGAGGCAACAAGGGCAATGGTTCCCTACCCTCAGGATACTAGTATACAGAAAGCCCCTACCTGGGAAAGTCCTGATTCTAGGAAAGCCCTAATCTGGGAAGCCCTGACCAGGTTAGGCCCTAAACAAGGGTTGCCCTGACCTATGAAAGCCCCAAACAGGGAAAGCCCTAACCTGGAAAAGCCTTGACCTTACAGCACATAAGAGTCTCATCTAGCTTTGACAGCCATACTCATCCTGCATACTGCCTTGGAAATTTGTTTCCTACAAAGTGAAAGAACTGGTGGCATGAGTAAAGTTTACAAAAATATGAAATTCAGTAAATAAGGGTTAGTGAAATTGACAGGCATGGGCATTCAGTGCACAGAAATGCAAAATCTGTATTTAGGAACCATTGTGGATACACTGAGTACACTAGAATACTAAATGAATGATTAACAAAATCAATATGAAGCATCAAATAAATTGCCAAAAAATAGTACAGTATATGACCAGAGGAAAACCTAATTATTTGGCCGGTTACAAAAGCAAAGCCTCACATACACATCCTCCACTCACACATGCTTCATACTTTGTGCCTCAGAGCCAACCAACACACTGTTTACTTTGAACCAGCATCAAGGCTGTGCTCAACAACTCTATTATTTACTCCAAACAGCTACTGAAACTGACAAAGTTACTGAGTTCAAGGTTGTCCAGTCAGGCTGTAAATATTATCCAAGTAAGAAGTAAACCAGTCATAAAAAGTTATATATCAATAATGTAATTCTGATTCATGAAATAATAAGTTTACTTTAACCACTTAACCATAAGTACTGATAGTAAGAAATATTTTATGTGTGTTTATATCAAGGAGACCATTCCTGCACTCACAAAAGTCTGCTTCAAACTTATGTGCCACTGTATTTTTCAAAGGCTTGAAAATAACATTCTCTTACAACCTACACATGGTGAGGTACCTGCCAATTAACTAAATAAAACTGGTGATAATCAAAACAACAAGAAATTCAACTCGTGTACAATTCCAACTCGCTAAAAAAATTATACTGTATGACAACTAATGTTACGGCACAACCAAACTTGATTACAATTCTAGTTTGGTTAAAACATTATCTAACCCATTTCTTACACTAGTTAGGAGTCATTTATGGGTAATGTTATCACAAGGAGAAAGAGAGAGATGAAACCCCACTTTATCAGCTCATCAACACACACATGAAGTGTAATTTATCAATATGTATATATACAAGAACATATATCAATATTCCATGAACATTTAAATTATTTCAGATATTCAGTGATTAAAATTATGACAATTATGATCATTCTTTAACAGTGTGTAATAATCAATATCAATATTTGTTGTAACTGCCCAAAACTATAATTTCCACAAAAATTTCAGTTATTGTCACTGGTTAGATAAAATAATGCTGGTACAGTATATAAGACCAACTTAGATAAAATAAGTGATAATCATTACAAAATAAAAACAAATCTTTAAAAGCTATCTACACATTTGAAGTAGAAAAAAGAATTTACTGGAAATAAATTATTAATTACTATTAAATCTTGCATGAGATATGTACTTCTTTGAATGTTACAACATGGTTTAAAATTATTGTGTCCCATATATGATAAACCTTTACAACATAACTTAGGAAAACAATGTATACAGTATAGATATCAAGTAGTGTACTGTACAGTACATGTTAATATGAGTATCATAGTATTTGGTGGATAACTTCTGACATCAAGTAACCATGTAACAAACATTGTAAGACTAATACATTTTATACCTACAGAAAATTATATGCAGGATAAAGAATAAGGGGAAAAAATAACAAATGTAAATCAAAGCACTGTACTGTATGCATAAAAAAATAATAATAATTAAATAAAAAAATTAAATAAATAAATAAGTTGATAATATCAAGTCATTAATTTTGTTCAGGTAACAATTAAAAACAATATGGGTACCATTTCCCCCTAAATTACTTTAAACCCACTTCCTTCAATGATTTCATGATCAGCACTTGTAGCATATCACTGCTTTCTCTAAGCCCTGATAGGTGTGTACAGTAGTGTAAATAATACAACATTCACATGTCTACATTCCCTAAAACAATTATTTATCAAGTGAAGTAAGGGCATCCTATGCTTGACACAGCTTGTTAACTGTTACTCAGTGATGATCAAACCTAGTCCTAAAGTTGTGCCTTCTGCTGGTGGTCTCTTAAGTACAGCATGCCTATTAACTCTCTTTTAATCCATATTACTCTCAAATTGTCCTTCAGTTTTGTTATGTTCTCCATACTTCTATGACATCTGTGAAAACTTCATTTCCTATTATTTTAGGGAAACTTAGTCTGCCCAAAACAAATGGTATTAACATCTTCACATCTGTTTCTGCTGCTGGATATAATAATTCCTAACTGAATGATTACATCATCAACATTCATTTAATTGGACAATGATCCCATGCTATTCACTGATTTCTGCCAGACCCCACAGTATGGAAGTATGAAAGACAATTTACCCTCAGGGCAAAATGGTTGAGAAAAAATTTATGGAAAACTCTGCACTGCAATGAAGAACAAATTGCAAACACTTATGTAATTTGACATTTGCTTTGCACTTGCACTGTCACAACATCAAAACACTACCAGTTACTCTAAGTTTCTAACCTTGATGTTTCAGTATTACACTTTATTATTGAAATGTGCTAAAACAAATAATACTTAATATTCAACTCAGAGACAATACTTGAAAGATTTGGGGAAAATAACTTATCATCTTCAATCACACAAAATTTGTCATTAAAGTACTTACTTATCAGTTCAAAACATCTATTATGTGTAACACTGTCTCATTAGTCATGGCAACACCTAGACAATGTTCATCAAACCATATTAATAACATTGTGCTTGTATTTGGATATTACTCCTATAACAGTAAACAAAACAGTCTTTCTTCATTTTACTACATTTATAATTCAAGTTATGAGGATCAAAGAATAACCAAACCTTTGATGAGGCGTTAAGCACATCACTGTGTGTTATCTTGTACAGTATTTTACTTCACCTTAAAGGTCAAAACAAATAAATTAAAGATATACACCTGTACTGTACTCTAAAATACTGTAGACATCATACAGTTTACTGTACCTACAAGAACCATAAATTCCATATTAGCTGATCAATTAATCCTGCAATGGCTCTTACAAGCAGTGTTAATTATGTTAATATGGCTGAGTTTCATGGAGAAAACCACACGTTGATCACCAAAAATACCTAAAAGTTACAGTTTGACTAAGTTTCTTTTACTGTTCAAATAAGTTTGAGATACTCTCATTATTTTCTTAATACAAATGTTTGTCTTCTACAAAAACAATTGGCAAACCAAGATTTTAATCTAAAAATTTGCTGGTAGTGTCAGACAGAGTTTAAAAGGGGGTCCCACGGTCATGTTTGCCTGTCAAGGTTGGCCTCCAGCTAAATCAATACCTTCAGTTATCTTTTTTTTTATATATCACACTTCCAGTTGACTACCTCTAGAGCCATAATATTCAATGTTCTTTTAAATCTACGAACATCCTTCATGTACAAATCCCTATAAAATATGAAAAAGGAAAAAGAGGAGAAATTTAGATAATTTGGAATGACATGTCTTCTTAGCTTGTTGTATGGGTGTTCTATTTCATTGGTTCTCTTGTGAAATTTCATCTTCATTAATACTTGAAAAAACACAGGGGAAACAAAGTAACAATACAGTAAAAACCTTATCAAGTCAATACTTCAATAAAACTAAACAACTTCATCAAACAGTACAACTCATTCTATAAATAACTCATCATTCTAGGATACATCATTTTTATGACGACTTCATTCAATACAAAGCAAAAAAAAATAGTTTTTCTAAAGTCCATAAATCCAACATTTTTGTCAAGAGGATGAGTTTTAATGCCAAAGTAAACAATCTTGCTCCTTATCAATACAAACCTTACCATTAACTTAAATTATTGTATTGACTTCTGTAAAACTATTCATAAAAAATGCCAAGAAAAAAGAAATCTTTATTAATAATAGGGCAATGTTGCACAGTGATATACATACAAAATTAACCATAAATATTAACATTCTCCAAACCTGTAACTTTTTCCTTCAGGAATTGTCTAATTCCTCCTCTTGTGTCTGCTCCATCTCATGTCAGAGAAAGTTCTTTAAAAAAAAAATTTAAATAAATAAATGAAAATTTCAAATAAATTTTAAGACAATGCTGCAATTTATCTACATTCCTTGTACAGTACTATAAAATTTTGTCGACTCCCCATATTGAATGAGGTATGTCCAGTACATGCTAATTTTTGACTGTAGTAAATACTCTCGGGATCCAACCAGCAACATGATTATTCTCGTAAGTACAGTAACAAAAATGTTTTGAACTTTACCTTATTTTTTCACAGATTTAACCAAGATTTTGAAAAACTTTACCAATTATTACAGAAATTCTGATGAATTATTTAAATTGTGGAAGAATACTAATGATAATAAAATGAATGCCCATCAGTATCAAAATTAATAACACTGCAATTGGAAATGAATAAATACATTCTGTTCATTCTCTCACTGCTGACGTAATCTACAATGTTCTGGAGGAGTATTCAAGTTTCAATGAGAATTATGCCACTTCTTTCACAAATTGCTCCAATTTTAGTTATAAACTTTGCCTCCTGGGAATCAACATCAAACAATGGCATTATTTGAAATTGAAAAACATACTGGATTAATTGGTACATTTCCTAAAAGTTAAAGACACTTCTCATGTAAATAAAAAAAAAATGACACGTCTCACCTTCATCAGTTTAATTTATCAAATTTGGAAATCAGCAAATACTATGGCATTAGAAAATAGTATATACAAAGTAATATAAATAAAGTACCAGGATTTTCCTAACATTGGAACACTTAGTGATAAAGATAAACTTTGTGATCACAATAAACTATTTGCCAGAATAAACATTACTTTAATTTTAACACATTGTTATTTTTCTCCTGTGCTACCTCCAACCTTATAAACAAGAAACAAACACTATATAATGCCCTCTGTTCAGACCTACAACCTTTAAATACTGATCGCACAAACACAAACCCATGTAGTAGAAGACAACAGCAATCTACAATAAGGCCATTACAGTATTTATATATCATTTTAACTTAATTAAAAAAAAATTCATGACGACAACTGATTCTATATCAAAGACACAAATCATGATTCTTTTTGGTTACATTATTACTGTGATTAACATTTCAATAACTCAAGTGATACAAAATATTGTCTGCTGGATATCTAATAAGCCTTGTGCACTGAATTCACCTCTTATTTAGGCCTATCTTATATTTAACTAATTTACTTACTCATGCTGCATGGTGTGAAAAACAAGGAAAAAGCTACCTGGTTATTTTTATAAAAAGACATGATTCCTTTTATTTTTTTATCCTTCCTATCTCCTAATATCTCCAAAGTTCTTTACAGTATACAGTACAGTATGCCATAGCATAAGAGGTGCACTACCACTGAGTGCCCTTAAGAGACATCTATTTGCCACAGTGAACAAACCACTATCTACTTATGACAGTTTCTATGTTTTGAGCAAGATGAGATATGGATGGATTTTCTCTTTTAGTCTCCTAATAAAAATTGTGAAGCTCAGGGAATTTTCTCATCATACAGTAAGAAACAATCTTAAAGAAAAACTAATATAACAGATTCATGACAGTGAGGGGTACAGAGGGGACCATGTATGTGCTCTCCTGATGTAACTACAGCACACACTTTACCTGATGATGACTGGATTTAGCTGCAGAAAGGGTCATAATCAATGATTCTTTACCAAAGTTTTGAAACTGTTCCAATAAAAAGATAATTATCTCACTGATATATAAAGATCTTATTAGTATCACCATATTTCCTGAACCACCTATATTCCTTGGAATACTAACAAAAGCTGTGCCAAATATATTGATCTTTATTCCTTCACCTGTCATGATCTACCAAGTAGCCAGGCCTTTTTAAACATACATTTGTATCTTTGCAGTGCTGCCCAGCTTAATCCTTTTTTTCTTTTCTTTTTCAAAATACAGTACAATACACCACTTTTTCTTTCCTTGAAAGGAAAAAATTAATTTATACTAATTCTTCTAATAAACAATGGGCACCACAGTACAGACTAAGAACATTACATTTTCACCCACGAGATCTGGTAAGTGAAAAGCTTACAACAGTCTTCTCAAAACCCCAGACTAGGCTGACCCTTCATATCCAATAAGTGCCACCTTACAAAAATTGGAGACTTTTAATTAAAGAAATGATGGATCTAGGCCAACATGGAACAAAATTAATGGAGTGCTACAAAAGAAAAAAATCAGATCCTTGTAATCCATTTACAGGCACATGGTTGAACAACAACTACAACACTGCCATACAATCTTGCAAGCATAGATGTGTTAACCACAAGAGGAGCAGACAGACAAGCATATTACAAGACTTTAGTCAGATTACTTATTTCAGTGATATGTCCCTTTCATAAAAAATAGGCAATTCATCATAATGATCCTTCAAATACAAAAAAATAAGACGGAGAACACTTATAACATTTAACTCTTCCTGAAAATAATATGTTTCACTGCTGAACTATCTCATGATAATTCACTTGCCCCTAAATCTATCCCAGATGAAAGATTAGGAGGGCAATGTCTAGGTCAGAAGAGAAAAGTAAACAATCAACAAGTTGTCATTACTGTAATAATTGTAGTAAATATCCCTAGTGATATTCCAGCCTCTCACGCATTCACTCTCTTGTGGCCGTCACCCTCCCAGAAGCTACATATACATTTCTGTGGGAAACTATCTATGTTCCTATTTGGCTTAAGCATGGAGCAGGTAAGGAATACAGGGAAGAACCTTACATGTTAGTGATCACTTCTGAGGGGATCCAAAACACTTGTCATATCACAATACTCGGGAGGTCACTTGTAATTGTACCTAAATAACAATAATAATAAAAAAATCTTATTTAAAATTAAGTTTTCCCAGCACTCTGACTCCCAAATGCACCTGACACTGTCCAAATGCTTCCACATAACAAATGATATCCTAATGTTGAGTTACTGAGCAAATTCAAGTATGACAACACAAGACCATTTGATCTGGCAGCTGTTCCACCTTCCATAAATGCACATAAAAAAGTTCCTTCAACCAGTTCCAAGAGGCAAACCTCTTAATAAGCTTTTACCTAGTAAAAAACTGTGTGTGGTGTGTAATATTGTGAGGCTGTGCTTGAGGGTGCAAGGAGGATCATGGGTGTTATCTGGTTGCTGTGGTGATGGTTGGGGGGTGCATCACACATAAGCCATCTTCATTCTGTAGAGGGTTTCCTAGAGTGCCATTGCGGCCGGTCGCCATTGACATGGTCGATCCATTCCGAACTCGTGTTAAATGGTCTTCTATTAAACTAGTTATTTCATCTTTGTCCATCTGAAAGATCATAATGATGATTGTTAGCAAAGTCAGCTCTTTCACACCATTAGAAATAAGACTATACTCAGAGTGTACATTAATGAACAAAATAAGACAAAAATTATATTTGAAACCACCAGAACCCAACTGTTTCGGCATTTATAAAATCTTAAAAATGCCAAGGGAAACTTTATATACTGGATACAGTAGGCTCTCGCCAATAACGGCTTCCACAATAACGTTTTCGACAATAACGGTAAGTTACAATAGATACCCATTTTCGATAATAACGTCTGGATTCTCTTGAATAACGGAAATTTCGCGAGAAGCGTCCGAGCGCATCAATGATAGCGTTTGTTTGCCGCCATGTTGATGACGTAGTTGTACACTCCGCCTCACTCTCACTGTCACACACGCTCAGTGGAATACAGCGCTGCGCCCACGTATGAGATTTTCGTCACTATAACCAGTGGTTGTTAGGGTCGGTGATCAATAATGGCTTCCGCATTTTTGCCTGTGGGGGCTAGGGGAGGTAGTGGAGGGAATGATTTGCCACCTGAATGACTGGGAACTTTTAAAGTGAGGAAATTGAACTGTCCTGAGTCTACAGTGAGAAATATTAAGAGGAACTTAGAGGAGACCAAGAAGAGTATTGCGCTGGCTGAAAATATTTCGGTAGTGATGGAAATGCAAGGCGAGCTATGAATGATAAAGGCGATAGAAACAGGTTGTTAGTGATAACAGAGCATTTTCTTGTGAAATGGTTAGCTTGTAGAATGAAAGACAGTGCAAGTGTTAGAGGCCCTCAGATACAGAACAATCATCACACCAAGCACCTCAAAAACTAAGTGTTATATTACTCAAACTCTTTATTATGATGATTGAATAACAATTCTTTTTATTTCAGCTATCAAAAAGTGTTAGGAGGGCTTCAAGGGGAAAAAATGGGTGAAATTCTTGTGGCGGCGGCACCAATAAACCCTTTTTACATGTATTTTAATGTCACACAAATAACGTTTTCGCTAATAACGGTGTTTTTCAGGCACCTATTAAACGTTATTGGTGAGAGCCTACTGTATATGTATATATATATATATATATATATATATATATATATATATATATATATATATATATATATATATATATATATATATATATATATATATATATATATATATATATATATATATATATATATATATATATATATATATATATATATATATATATATATATATATATATATATATATATATATATATATATATATATATATATATATATATATATACACACACACACACACACACATATACAGTGACCCCTCGTTTAACGCCTCGGTTAACGAAATTTCGGTTAACGAACTGCCTTCCATAAGGATCTTCAATTCGGTTAACGAACAAAAATTCGGTTAACAAATTTCTTACGAACCGACCTCAACATGTTTTCGCTTGCACTGGCCGGGCAACCAGCTTTAGTATCAGTCCGCCAATACATTAATCGGTTCTAGTGCTTAAATTCCTAACTATTTTAGTAAATATCAAGAAGTTTATACTATTCAATAATTTTAAAAGTTTAATAATCAATTTTTTAGTCATTTTAACAATTATTGAACATAATTGAAGGTAAAGTGACTAGTTTAAAGCGCAGCATCCAGCCTCTTAACACAGCAAACAGGCGTTAGTCTCTCTCTGTTTTCACTGGAGGTAACATCTTGCTTGAGACTCTCTTCAACTAAATGCTTTTTTTCTGTGTTTCCAAGCAAATTATTGGTCATTTTGAAATATATTTTACATATTGACAATATATAATGCAGTGCAGTGTTGATTTAAAGAAAATAATCTTGAAATACACCAAGAGAACTAAAATTTTATGGGTGAATGGTGCCATGGGGTGACTTCTCTTCCACCCCAATGCCTTCTCTTCTTCCTTCTCCTCCACCCCCATTCTAAATCCCATCATCATCCAGGAGCCTTCTACATACACACCTCAAAGTAAGTGAACTTTTCTACCATTTTTTGTTGAATTTAGGAAATTTTCGGTGAGCTGGAACCAATTACCCAAAAACCCATTGAAACAATGGTTTCGGTTAACGAACTTTTCGGTTAACGAACGACCTTCTGGAACGGATTGAGTTCGTTAACCGAGGGGTCACTGTATTGTTTTCTTTCAGGCAGACAATGAGGATGTAACAATTGGTGCATTTTCTTAGTTGTACATATTCTTTTTTCTTCAAATTCTCAAATAATTTTAAAAATATAATTATTTACTGAAATATTAAAACTGAGAAAATATTGTATATAGGCATTTATGACATTTTGCCGAAACATCCGGGGTTTGGAAATCACAAAAAAATGATCAGAATTTCCATACACTTATATTACAACACCAATTAAAGTGAGTTTTTAAAATCTTTACAAATATCATGATATATAGTAAAGGTTTTAAGAGGAAGTATCCATCCCAGGCCTGAACAACTGGGTGACACTGTGTCCTGTGGCATAACCCTTACCATCATCAAGTAACCTCAGTTAAACTAAGTGTTCAAACTATGCTGATGGAAGACATTGATAACAAGACATACAAAGATACTGCAAACAAAATGGATAATCCCCTTTTTAGCTTATTGGACTGACTCGTTTGGACTAACATAAAAGAGGTAAGATTCACACCTAACCTGAAACACAATAGCCCACAAGAGGGATATATGGGTATTAAGACGACAGCATTAGGAAATAACTACAGTACTATGAACCACAATACCAGCTGCCTTGTATAATTTCAGGTTTCTGTCATTATATCTACATGCACATTTTCTACTAACTTATCAAGTATTACCCTTATTTTCTTTTCAAGGAGGAAATAACAGATGGAGGATATTGTACACATAAAACTATGGCACTAACCTGACTGATGAAGCCATATCTAACAAGTTCATCCGTGAGGGCTGCAGCTCCCTCTCCATCTTCTACAACACAAGATAGCTGCCGGTTCATCTTGTCTTCTAAACGTAAAGATATAGTCATCTGAAAAAGAAAAATAGCCATAAACAACAATCAGGTACAGAAATGGAAAACCTTAGCCTAAATGTTTTTTAATTAATAATAATAATAAAAGAGAGAGAGGTACAGTGTCTGATAATTATTGCTGAAGATGTAGTATTGAAACTTGTAATATTCTAGTTCTGAAAATAAAAAAGTAAAACAATTCAAAGAAATTCCCCATATAATTCTTCAAGCAAATTTGATTAACACACCTGTGAAAGTTATTATAGTCGTGCACTATGAGAGTGAACCCATAAAACTCAATGGTACCACAAACAAGATAGGTACCTGTGGTAGATATAACTGTAACCATGGAAGATACAAGAAGCATCATAGTACAGGTACCTCTGTCCTTCAAGTAACAGAATGAAATACAGTATAGCTAAGCAACAGACAGTAGGCAAGTCTTGAAATTTGGATGTTCACATAATAACTTCAGGGGGGAAATATTACAATACAACAAATGGGTGAAGAGAGGAACAGAGGTTGAATTGAAATAAAGTATACAATAACTGAGAAAGATGAAGATATCAAGTATGATGTAACAGACAGCAGTTAAAAAAAGAATTGCTTGAAGTAGTTTGGTCATATGAGAAGAATGATTGATGATAAGCCTGCAAAGATTGCCATTTTCCTTGAAATAAAAACAGCAGTAAAATATTAAGATATTTCCTGAAGGGGTGAAGAAAATAGATCAGGCTAGAAAGGTTCAATTAGATAGACAGATCTAGAGGGTATACAGTCAAGATCAACAAGTGATTAAGAGTTCCACATGAGAATACTGTACTACCTGAATGAAACATTAAAAATATATACCGGAGACATAGATGAATGACTGAGCCCTCAACACAATTCATGTTATTAAACTGCAGCTATACTTACAAACAATCCATGCCCATTTTCATTTGGTTTAATGTTACACATCATGTTGATAACCTTGCGAGTTTCCATGTCTGTTGACTGTGGGGTTTCTGATGCAACAGGGTCAACAGCTTCGGGTGAGATGGCCCGAGGACGGGACGGAGGCTGTTGCTGGAGCCTAAAGGCTGTCAAGGGGTATATCCCAAACCTACAAAGGAAAATGGAAAATTAGTGTATAACCATGATCTCTGATGTCTTGGTAAATAAATAAAAAATAAATAAATAAAAAATACATAAATAAAATTACTGTATAGACTAAGACCTGCTCATTTTTTCTTTTTCTCCCTCACTCTCCCCACACGTATACAGTACATAAACACGTATTCACTCACATATATTTTTATTTTGACACCATATTTAATTCAAACAAAATACAATTAAACAATCTAACATACCTGACATCTTCAATGAATTTCTCCAACTTTTCCATTACAGGAATATTAGCCATACGGACAAGCGTGGGCTCTCCTCTGCTGTGTCTAATCTCCGCTACAACACTGTCAGTGTGGTACTGGTGTTGTAACATGTCCTCCACACAATTATCTATAAATTTGTTTGCTGAAACAAGCAAAAATAAATATAAAATTACACTTATTACTGTACTGTACTTATAACAACAGTCCTGAAAGGATGAAAACTATAATGTTTTACTCACAGGCAGGAGATGAAGACCAGGTTCTGTCTCTTGGTTGTAACTGTATATTTGTAAATTCATTGATGTGCAACCTTTTATATTTGCTTATAATATATACAAAGTGTGTAAGTTAAATTATGTACAATGAAAGGCACTTCACAGTGTGACCTTAAAAACAAGCAAAGTTCAAATGTATAAGAGTGTGTGTGTGTTCTAATTTGAGACTCATTAATTTAAGTTATATCCAAACTTCACCCAGAAAATACTAACAACTATGATTCTTACATTTTTTAGGGTTATGTATGAGAGCATGAGCCGCTAGGAGTTTAAGGGAGTGGACCTCAAATAACACCGGGTGGAAGAGTAACTGTGTCGTACGTGGACGCTGACTTTGATCAGGGTTTAGGCACTTCTGTATGAAGTTTCTCTGTTGTTCATGTTCCAAGGAATGTATAGTTCTTAGCACCTGAAAGAAAAGACACTGGTTAAGATTGTTATATCTATACAAGTACAGTACTGTATTATTTACTAAGGTTATACCTGTACTACTAGTAAGTAATGCTTGGATGACCTACTCATAAGCTGGTGATGGTGGTTATTTTAGCCAAAAATCATAAAAAAAATTAATTCAAGATAATTTATTATAGATTACTATACCGGGTATTTATTTTCATGTGTATTCAATCAGTACACTATATATATTTCCCCATCTTTTCACCAATTTACTGCTCCGTCTTCCTAAGTAAATTTTAAATCATAAAGTAACTCTAGGCATAACTACGGTAGCAACCACCCAAGTCACATTATCACCCCGTACTAAGACTTTTACTCTGTGCTATCTTGTGTTGTATCAGATATGAGTACAGTACAGTACTCAGTGTATCCTTCTTCAAATGGTTCTTTACTGCCATATAGTCCAGAATTATTTACTGATGTTGATGATGAACAGCAAGATTCACCGACATGTTTCAGTGACCTAATTAATTCATGGAACCAAAGTGATCACTGATGTTTTTCTTCCACATATTTCTTCACCTCCAAATCAATCCAAGTCAATCAGGCTTAGACATGTTTATTGTTGAGAGTGTCTCCCTCCTGTATTCATCCATCTACTTAGTTACCTATTTTCAAAATCTCAGGCAGCATTCTAAGTAAAGTAGGAAGCTCTTCCAGTATTATAAGGGCTCAGATCAGTGCTTAAAGTGAACAAAAATCTGAACCACCACTGTAAGTCAGTGAACTCAGCTAAATGAAATGAAGATATAAATAAATAAATTAATTTAAAGACCAGTACAATGATGGATATAAGCACAAAATGGTTCTTTTTGCTTGAAATTTGAACAGGAAGGATGCACCCTAACTCAGTAAGGTCATTTAGCAAAACCAACACTGCATTACTGAACATTCCAATGGACTTAGAGCATTGGTACAGGTACAGCATGAATAGTTATTCAGAGAGAATACATTAATGTGAACTAATATCATTTAATATAATTCCATGATGAACTTAAGAATATATTTTATCAAAATATCTATTCCTGTACAGTACAGTATAAGAAAATCTGAAGTTTGAGAAACGAGAACACAAATAATTTCACATCTCACCTGGTCTTGCGTGACGACATTGCCTGAGTCACCATTACCGGGTATCTCAAGGGCAGCCATCTCCAGAGCTGCCATCCCAAATGAGTAGATGTCTACAGCTGGGGTTACTGGAGAGGGATCTGGAATTATGGAAATAACCTCTTTATAATTACCGATTCATAATTTGTCTTCTTCTTCATTCATACAAGACTTTTCCAGTTATGATGCAGGTGGTCAGGCAGGTATAGTACTAATCTCGATTTCCTGATTCTTAAGATTCAGCAGCTAGTGTGTTACCCAGTCCAATTGACAGGTTTCTAATTCACAGACAAGTTTTTCAATCAATGGCAAGCACAACCATTGGTGAACTCATTTACTGTCAAGTGCATGAAGGGCTAATGTACCACAAGGGAACCCAATCCTTTACTCCTGTCAAGAAAAGAACCTGTGACCACTTGCTTGAGAGGTATATGCTGTAGCAACTAATACAGTACCGATGCATAACAATATTTCACCTGTCTAAAGGCTAATTTCACCAATTATTACAGTATGTTAAATGTCAACATGCAATTTACCATATATTACGGCGGATTAGGCGACCTTTAGATAAGACGAAGCCCACATATTAGTCTAAATTTCATGGTTTTAGCTCATATCTGGAGTATCAGAGACTCCCAAAACTACCAAACCACCTGTGGTAAAGTTAAGGTCAATATGACCACCAATATGGTGGTATGTTTAATGTATTAAATACTTTGAATGTTTAATGTATTACTAGTAAATCATTTGAATTATGCTATCAGAGAGGCACATAATAAGGTAAATACCATAGGTAGACTTTCATCAGTAGTGGTACGTTAAGGTCGATGACCGTATTGTTTACATACCTACCTATCGTGGTGTTGCATAATTTGATGTGCTGTGTGATTTTGTGATCAAAGCAGGGGATAAAGTGAAAGTAGAGGGTGTAATCAAATCTTTTAAAAAGTGCAGTATCTCTAATGCAATGAATGGTACGGAGGATGATATGTTGTGGGACACTGACGACGAAGCCGAAGCCGACACACTAGATTCAGACTGGGACTCCTATGACAACAACGTAAACAATGAGACTCAGGATGTGTATGACGAGGTCTTTGTTTCAGTCGATTCTAGTGAATTTGATGGATTTTAAATGTTTGTGATGCTTTTTTTTTATGTTACAATGCTTTCATTAGTTTAACACCATGTCGGTAAATGAATTTCAGCGAGAAATAAAAATTTTAAACAATACAATAGCTGTTTCAAGATTGACGACCCCAGCTACCTTCGCTGACCCACATCATTAAGGTAATTTTTATGGAATTTTCAGGATTTTGTTTTTGTATGTGGCCTATAAGATGACCCCTGGTTTTGGGGTGTTTTTTTGATGATTCAAGTGTCGTCTTATCCACCGAAATATATAGCACATCAGATATAAATCCTAATCATATATAACAACTGCTTAGTAAATCTTTATCACCATCATGGCCCTTGGTTCTAGTATCCCTGCCTGCATGTTGAGATGTAATGGGGGCAAAACTAATGACTATGGATCAAAAATGTCAGGGAGGTTTGGTGCCTTACACAAAAGTGTTTGGTGTAACACAAGACCACTAATTATGGGAGGAGGAGCTCTGTATGATAATTTTCTATCTTTCTACTGTCAATGGTTCTTTTCTTTCCAACTGTTGCTCTTATTATGGCAAATTCTCACATTTAACGTAAAAGAAGACTAAAGATAAAACAAATGTCTGAAGAACAGGATTTAAAAAAAAATAATATAAAAAAATAAAAATAAAAAATAAAAGAAGACAACATGGCAGATATTTATTTTCTCCATTATTTACCTATATACTGAACTTTTACTTTTATCCTCTTCACCATTGATCGGCTCATTAGCCGCTTGGGCGGTCGGTCATGTCTCTGATATGCACTGTTGGCAGATACTGGGCATGAAGTGGCTCCTGAATATATTGGAACCTGCTCCAGTGTTGGTCAAGTCTGGCCTTGAAAGAGCTCACACTCGGTGCTGTCACAACACTGGCAGATTGTTCCAAGAGTTCACAACTCTCACTCCAAAAAAGTTTGCCTTCACAATTTTCTGGAATTGTAACTCCTTCAACCTTGAGCTGTGACCCCTTGTGGGGCGGACATCTGCCAGCTCCAGGTATGTACATTCGACTGAGTAGTGCCCCCTGAGATGTCTATACACTTCGATTAGGTCACCTCTTGCCCGTCTGTAGTACTGTATAAGCTAGGTAGTTGCAGGCACTCCAATCTCCATAAAGCAGGCACCAGTCTGGTGGCCCTCCTTTGGATATTTTCAATCAACTGACAGTCCCTAGCATATCTCGGGGACCAAATGGGGAAGCACCTCACTCTTGAAGATCGTGACGAGCGACGGACCATCCATATATCTAAACGACCTTCTTATAAGACTACTAGTTTTGTTGCCTAATTCACCTTCTCACAATGACCTAAGAACTTAAGTTCATTGTCAACATACACATGCAGGTCTTTTTCACATTCGGTCTCAATTAATGCAGTCTCTTTGTCCTGTTGGGACATGTGATACGCCTCCTTACTGTTGGTGCGACCCAGGTACATCCTTTTGCACTTCATGACATTGAATCTTAGCAGCCATTTCCTCGACAATTCTTGAAGCTCATAGAGATCTTTCTGTAACTCTTCACAGTCAGTTTGGTTCTTAATTTCCTTAAATAACTTGGAATCATCTGCAAACATTTGAATGGAGGAGTGTATAGCTTCTTGTATGTCATTAATGAAGCCGGCAAACAACAACGGGCCCAATACAGTACCCTGTGGTACCTCGCTAGTCACAGGTACACATGACGATTTCGTACCATTTATCAACACACACACTGTTTGCGATCATGCAGAAAGTTTCAAATCCACGCTAGGACACTTCTCCAAATCCCGTACCCTTCCAGTTTGATTCTCAGCCCTTCATAAGGTAGTATGCTGTTGAAAGCCTTGGCAAAATCTAGGTATACAGTACATTGTCAATATTTCCGCCTTGTTCTAGAATTTGAGTCCAAACATCTAGTACCTTGAGTAATTGTGTTAAGCAGGATCTTCCCGGCATAAAACCATGTTGGCGTTCCTTTACAAGGTTATTCTGTAGTGGATGTGCCATCATGGCATCTCTTATGATGCTCTCCAGTACTTTGCACACTATGCTGGTCAGGCTCACCTGTATTCTTATATCTGTTAACAAAATTTCATGAATAAACTTGACCTGCATTATCTAGACGAATAATGAGGTTCCCTGATACCACATCCCATTTTGGGACAGATGATTCTTTCGGGAAAAACAAATACAGAATTACATCTTTTTACAATTATTCATACTGTACATTCTGTTTTCTTTGTTTCATGCCCTTTACTGCTATAATGAAAGATAACCAGAAGGAAGAGCATACACAGAATCGATTTAATGTCATCCTTTCACCCTGTACTGCAAAATGCTGAAAAATTCTCACATGTATTTAAACATTCCTATCTTCACAGAAGTGTTCTGTGCTCATCATTTCTTTCTGACGGCCAAGATTATCTATTAAAATGATTGTGAGAGGAAAAGATTTTATTAAAGTCTTAAATTCATAATACATACAGGTAGATGATCATTTTTATCTGAAAACCTTAGGACAGTTTTCATTTTGGACTTCAGATATTAGGAGTTTTCTGGTGCCTATGCCTACTTACATCACATTGGCCTATACAGGCCCAGATCCAGACCTCAAATCTAACAGATACAATTTTCCTAATTACACCAATGCTTCCTACCTCGTGCATTCAAGATTTTTACAGTTAACTTGAATTTGCTTAGGCTATGTTTGATGTGATCACTGTTACTGCCCTGTAGGTAAAATGTGAGAGTAAATTGTGGCACCACTACTTCTCCCAACATACAGTTGTTGCTGGTTTAGTTAACTTTATATACTTTAGGAACTACTGTATTTTTACAGTAAACTTTATTTCATTTGGATATTTTTAAATACTCTAGCTAAAAACTTAGCAGTGATTATTATGAACACAGACGTTCATGGATTACAGGTTAAGATACTAATACAACATATAATAGTTGTTATGTTTCATTGCAGTCTTTGTTTGTTGTGGATTTAATAAATGGGGTTTGGCTCAGGCCCATCACGTGATCGTATGATATAAAACACAGCAGTGAAAATGTAAAATTTTCTCAATTCCAGTTTCTTCACAGCTGGATTTTACACACTGAACTTGTACTTACACATACAGGTGGTCACTGAAATTATTGATAAAAAGTTTATGAAAGTAACTTTACCTTTTCAATTACGAATCCCCCCCCAAAATATGCCTTCATACTCATATACAGTTGGGTCTGTTCAAAAACTCTTTCGGGTTTTTATTTCTTTTTGGTTTTAGGAAATTCAGATATAGCCAAGATCTTCGACCCGTATATTTTTCTCTCTGATTCCTTCTCCTACAGACTGATATTTCTCTACATTTTCATAATTATAAATTTAATGAATGCGTTTATTTAAAAAAAATTTCTTCTCATCAAAGACATATTTACCTTCCAACTCCAGAGTCAAAGCTCTGATTTCAGATCAGACGAATATCTCACCTCAGAGCTAAATACTACAGCTACCATCAAAGACACAACCATAACAACCTTAACATGAATGTAGGAGTAATGCAGTCTCTCTCTCTCTCTCTCTCTCTTTGCTTTAATGGGATAAATTAACCAGAACCTGTGATTACAAACCTCATCTCCTTTCTTACCACCATATAAAACAGCATAAACTTGAACCTAATGGTGGACATCAACACCAATGTCTCAGAGAAACTATCGTTAGTTTACAGGACAGAGTTAATAAAAATAAAGGCTGTTATCACTGTACAGGAGATGCAGTACTTGGTATGCATTTTCAGCAAGACAACCTCTAGAGCTGTTGACTTGGGGTCAAAATATTCATGGCCAAAGTCATAACTTTGAAAAAAGTAAAACCTGGCAGGAGCTGGCAGTCAAGTCTGATTAATTAACCTGTCTGCAAGAAATACTTTTAGAATTATGCTATCCAAGTTACTTTTCTTAACTCCTTTATTTTTTAATAAA